AACTCCTAAGCTCATGTGGTCCTCCTGCTTCAGCCTCCCAAAGTGCTGGGATTACAGGTGTAAGCCACTGCACTCAACCTAAAAACAATTTTTTAAAAAGGAATAAAATACCAAAATGATAAACAAAACAATCTATACCTATTAGCATGAAGTTTAGAAGAATAAGCATCTAACTCTTTTAACAGTGGTCATCTAAGGAGAATACTAGTAGGAAAAGGAGCAATTTTTTTTTCTATTTCTATTTCTATACTGTTTGGATTTTGATCATAAAAATGTACTAACATTTTTTAATTTTTAATAATTCCATTGGATATAACTTTTAAGTTAATCTCCAGGTACTGACAGACTTAAGTCCTCAAGCTACCTTAAAAATAAAGTTTTAGGCCGGGCGCGGTGGCTCAAGCCTGTAATCCCAGCACTTTGGGAGGCTGAGACGGGCGGATCACGAGGTCAGGAGATCGAGACCATCCTGGCTAACATGGTGAAACCCCGTCTCTAGTAAAAAAAAAATACAAAAACCGAGCCGGGCGACGTGGCGGGCGCCTGTAGTCCCAGCTACTCAGGAGGCTGAGGCAGGAGAATGGCGTAAACCCGGGAGGCGGAGCTTGCAGTGAGCCGAGATCCAGCCACTGCACTCCAGCCTGGGTGACAGAGCGAGACTCCGTCTCAAAAAAAAAAAAAAATAAAATAAAATAAAATAAAATAAAAATAAAAATAAAATAAAGTTTTGCCGAGTGCAGTGGCTCACACCTGTAATCCCAGAACTTTGGGAGGCCGAAGCAGGATTGCTTGACCTCAGGAGTTGGAGACTAGCCTGGGCAAAAAAAAAATTAAAAATTAGACTAGATGTAGCTTCTCTATTCCCTCTCAAATCTCTGCCTGGTTTGGACCATCTGCCTCCACTCTTGCCCCTACCATGTTCACCAGGGTGACCCAGAAGTCCTACAAGGTATCCGTTTCTGGTCCCTGGGTCTTCAGCAGCTGCTTCTACATGAGTAGGCCCAGTGCCCGCATTAGCTCCTCAAGGCTCTCCCAAGTGGGTAGCAGCAGTGCTTCTGGGGTGGTCTGGGTGCCGGCCCAGGTCTGAGTGGAGGCTATAGAGGGGCCAGTGGCAATGGGGAGCATCACAGCCATCATGGTGAACCAGAGCCTGCTGAGCCCCCTCAAGCTGGAGGTGTAACCCAACATCCAGGCCATGTGTACCCAGGAGAAAGAGCAGATCAAGACCCTTATCAGTAAGTCTGCCTCCATCACTGACACGATACAGCTCCTGGAGCAGCAGAACAAGATGCTGGAGAGCAAGTGTAGTCTCCAGCAGCAGCAGAAGACAGCACGGAGCAACACGGACAACATGCTCGAGAGCTGTATCAACAACCTTCAGCAGCAGCTGTACATTCTGGGCCAGGAGCAGCTGAAGCTGGAGGCAGAGCTCGGCAACATGGAGGGGCTGCTGGAGGACTTCAAGAATAAGCATGAGGATGAGATCAGTAAGTGTACAGAGATGGACAATAAATTTGTCTTCAAGAAGTTTATGGATAAAGCTTACATGAACAATGTAGAGCTGGAGTCTTGCATGGAAGGGCTGACTGATGAGATCAACTTCATCATGCAGCTGAAGAGGAGTTCCAGGAGCTGCAGTTCCAGATCTTGGACACATCTGTGGTTCTGTCTATGGACAACAGCCACTCCATGGACACAGACAGCATCATCACTGAGGTCAAGCACCAGTACAAGATTGCCAACCACAGCTGGGTGGAGGCTGAAAACATATAGGCCCAGATCAAGTAGGAGGAACTGCAGACACTGGCTGGGAAGCATGAGGATGATGTGTTGCACAAAGACGAAAATCTCTGAGATGAACCAGAATATCAGCTGGCTCCAGGCTGAGACTGAAAGCCTCAAAGGCCAGAAGACTTCCCTGGAGGCTGCCATCATGAACGCCAAGCATCGTGGGGAGCCTCCATTAAGGACAGCAATGCAGCTGGGTGCAATGGCTCACATCTGTTAATCCCAGTACTTTGGGAGGCCAAGGCAGATAGATTGTTTGAGGCCAGGAGTTTGAGACCAGCCTGGGCAACATAGCGAAGTCCCCTCTCTACCAAAAATACAAAAATTAACCAGTCTTATAACCCAGTCTCAAAAAAATAAATATTTAAAACTAAATTTTTTTTTTTTTTTTAAAGACAACACCCCCAAGCTGGCGTACCAGGAGCTGAGGAACGTCAAGCTGGCCCCGGACACAGACGCTGCCACCTACATGAAGCTGCTGGAGGGCAACAAGAGCAGGCTGGAGTCTGGGATGTAGAACATAAGTATATATATAAAGACCACCAGTGGCTACTCAGGTACACTGAGCTTGGCCTATGGGGCCTCACAAGCCCTGGCCTCAGCTATGGCTAGGTTCCAGCTTTGACTCTGGCAGGGCCTCTAGCTCCTCTAGCCGCACCAGCTTCTCCAGGGTTCCTCCAGTGCTGTGGTTGTGAAGAAAATAGAGATGCAAGATGGGAAGCTGGTGTCCGAGTCCTCTGATGTCCTGTCCAAGTAAATGGCCATGGCAGCCCCTCCCAGCCCATCCCTTCCTGTGGATGCCCCAGAGCCAGTGGAAGAGGCCACTGTGCAAGGGAGCATAGGGAACAGGAGTGAACATAGCCTCGCCTAAGTGAGGCTCAGTCCTAGCCCTCAATCCATTCATGGAGTTTATTGCCTGGGGTACCCCCCTGGCCCATGACTCCAGCTATAAAACAATTTGTTTTTGTTTTTTTTCCAAAATAAAGCCTCAGCTACCTCTGCCATTTAAAAAAAAAATTGCCAGGCTTAGTGGTGTGTGTCTGTGGTCCCAGCTACTCAGGGGGCTGAAGTGGGAGAATCGCTTGAGCCCAGGAGGTCAAGGTCACAGTCAACTATGATTGTGGCACTGTACTCCAGACTGGGCAACAGAGCAAGACTTTGTCTCAACAATAAAGTTCAAACAAGCATTTCCTCACAAAAGCATGCATCAGTAGATAGTTAAGGAAAATGCCTGTGTTACCCAGTTAACCTGAGATGCTACTAGGCTTACTTACCCCACCATGACACTTTCCGGCCCATAATCCAAATTAGAGGTACACTCTCTAATCCTGAAACTGTTGACAAGTGTGATATGACAAGAGTTGGTACCCCAAAGCACAATATCCTATTATTTTCAAACTTTTCCTTCTCCCTACCTGCTACTAATTGAACACCAGGCCCACATCAGCACTTTTCTTTCAGAGCCTGATTCTCTATTCCTCCCACCCCCACTTCAAGAATGCTATGAGGGTTAGGGGTGTCTATCACGACTCCCTCAGCAACCAACAGCCGTTCTAGAAAAGGTGACATAACCCAGGGCTGCCAACAAGAGCAGCTTCCCAGCAGGATGTTTTAGTAACCTTAATGAGGCAGACAGCAACGCCTCCCGTAAATTCTGGTTGGAAGAAACGATCTAGAGATGGTGGAAAAGTACAACTTAAAAAGCAAACACCACAGGCTCCAGTATAGCAGGAAAGCAAGCAGGGATTTCTAAATACAGACCTCAATTGTAAGAGTTCGCTGTACCTTAATTCTCACTATCATCATTTGCTCTGTCAAAAATAGAACCTTCCATGTCTTGATCCATTCAGAATAAGCCACAGCAGGCACAGCTCTGCTTCCACAGGGCAGCCAGGTCAGAAAGGCCACACAGGGAAATGGAAAAGGCAGCCAGCAGGTTTTCTTAGAGATTATACTCCTCCGGGCTTTTATCCTTCTTCCCAGCTATTCTGGTGCCAAGAAAGCTGCAGGGAGGTCTTTGCTCTGCTCTGAAAAAGCTTCAACTCAATCTTTTCACCAGCAGGGCTGAAGCAGTCTCAGGGCTGTAACTCCCTCTGCTGCCCAATGTTTTCTTTGCATGTTGTGATCAGTTTAATTTCAAACTCAAATGTTAAAAGAACTAATGCAGCCCTTTATTTCAAAATATAATCAAAAGAGCATGAGTTCAGACAGGAGGAATATAGATGGAATGCACGGTTCAAAGCTGGATACACTTCTGCATTCACCTACAAATCTCCTCTATCTCAGAAAGGATTTCTTTTATTCAGTTTCATGAACTGAAACTACAGTCTCCTTCACAGGCATGTAGAAAAGTAGGAGCCAGACTTCTTGGTCCTTCCTCACCCATCCTTAATAACAGCATTGCCTTTAGCAGAACTTAAGGCAGGCCTTATTCACCTTTCAAGATCCAATTTAAATAGTACTTAGGATGAGGCATTAAAACTACCTGTTTACCAGTCTGTTTCACTGTATTGATTCAACACTGTGTCTAGCTAACAGCATATGCTCACTATCTATCTAACAGAATTCTAACTAGAACCATGTGCAATATTGGGGGAGGGGAAACCTGCCCACATAAGAATTCAACCAGAAATCACTGGGGGAAGAACCAAAATTCTTAAGAGATAAGAATAAGAGACAGGTGTGTTTCTCTAATATACCATTATTCTGCCTAACAATTTACCTACCAGCTGTGCTTGTGGTCCTTTTCAGATTACCAATCTCAGTCTCTTTCCTGTAAACTCTTAACTCATTTTTAAAGTACTTGAAAGGCACTTCATTCTTTGCCTATACCCAAATACTTCTCACATTCTGATCTTAGTGATAAAATTCACAAAGACCTCACAGTGACTCAGAGTGTTGAGCAATACTGACCCAATTAAATAACGTACCCAACCTATTTAGGTTAGAAACTCTGGTATTCCAACATCCAGAACCAGAAGTGATGAAGACATTTATTAGTGCAATAACCCCAATTTATTTTTGTGAATCCTCCCCTTCTCCACCTCCCAATACTGGAAGCTTACCTGTCAGGCAGAATTCCTAATCTGCCTCAAAATCTACAGGTCCAAGCTCTGCGAATACCAAGTGCTCAAGGCAACTGCCACCCTTCAGAAAACTAAAGTAAATACCAACAACGAACGGTGTTAGTGTGTAAAAAGTCTCTACTGATGAATAGGAAGAAGCAATGTAAATTTTTTAATACAAACAATCCCACAGCATTTATTGCCATCTTGTATAACACAAGGGTAATCAAAACAATATGAATAAATGTTCATATTAGACAAAGGACATCTAAAAACAAACTGTATTCTTCTCAACAATTTCTCACTTCATTGATCATTTCTAGTTGGAGACACTTTGTAGCAGAGTAATATTATCTCCTTTCAGCATGATCCGACCTACAACACAAAAACAACAAAAGGCTATTAATAGCCACACACTCAGATGTTTTACTCTCAGAATTTTGTATCCAGTTTTTGAACAATATTTTGAAAATGCTTTCTTATAAAAACATGTAAACATTTTCAAGTGTCCATATAGTGAAATGCTTTCTGGCTCCATTAGAATACATTTACCTTTTCTACAAACTAACAAAGGTAGATGATATTTCATGACAAGCATCATTTCTATGAACTAAGTCAACTCAATAGGCCTCATACAACATTTCCCAATGCTGAGTTTGTAAAAGTTTGGAAATGAGTCGTATGTCAAGTTTGGGAAATATAGCATATTATAACTCCATTCTTTTTTTTTTTTTTTTTTTTTTTTTGAGGCGGAGTCTGGCTCTGTCGCCCAGGCTGGAGTGCAGTGGCCGGATCTCAGCTCACTGCAAGCTCCGCCTCTGGGGTTTAGGCCATTCTCCTGCCTCAGCCTCCCGAGTAGCTGGGACTACAGGCGCCGCCACCACGCCCGGCTAGTTTTTTGTATTTTTTAGTAGAGACGGGGTTTCACCGTGTTAGCCAGGATGGTCTCGATCTCCTGACCTCGTGATCCGCCCGTCTCGGCCTCCCAAAGTGCTGGGATTACAGGCTTGAGCCACCGCGCCCGGCTATAACTCCATTCTTAAAGCTGTTAGTATATTAAAGACTCCACCCTATCTCTACTAAAAATACAAAATTAGTTGGGCGTGGTGGCGTGTGCCTGTAATCCCAGCTACTTGTGAGGCTGAGGCAGGAGAATCGCTTGAACCCGGGAGGCGGTGGTTGCAGTGAGCCGAGATCGCACCATTGCACGCCAGCCTGGGCAACAAGAGCGAAACTCTGTCTCCAAAAAAAAAAAAAACCAAAACTCCACCCTACAATAAACAAACCTGTTTAAGTTTTACCCAAACTTTCCTAAGATTATTTAAGACGATACTTTTCTAAGAAATCTATAAACATCTTCAGGAACACTGGTGTTCACTGGCAGAACAGTTTGAGACATGTTGATCAACTCCAACAGCAATTAAACTGTTCTACTTTCCCAGGCTTCTGCAGGTATTAATAATATTCTATTCTACAGGATGAATACTACCATGAGAATTCAACAGTTGGTAAATAATTTATAAATAATATGACCTCGGTGAGGCTAAGCCTGCCCTTCCTGGCAAGACATCTTAAAATCTGAAAAATCCAGCTGGGTATGATGGCTCATGCCTATAATCCCAGCACTTTGGAAGGCCAAGGTGGGCGGAATGCCTGAGCTTAGGAGTTTGAGACCAGCCTGGACAACACGGTGAAACCCCGTCTTCTACTAAAATATAAAAAATCAGCCAAGTGTGGCGGCATGCACCTGTAGTCCCAGTTACTTAGGAGGCTGAGGCAGGAGAATCACTTGAACCCATAAGGTGGAGGTTGCAGTGAGCCGAGATTGTGCCATGGCACTCAAGCCTGGGAGACAAAGCAAGACTCCGTCTCCAAAATAAAAATAAAAATAAATCTAAAAAACCCAGGTTTTCATAAAAATAGTGTAAGCAGGAAGAAGCTAGCGAAACATCATACTGCTTCTCAGAATCTACTTTCCACATATCTAGTATAGGTTCATGAGAATCCTGAGGGTCTAAGAGACACCTGGAACCCACCACTGATAAAAGTATTAGTGAGCATTTAACAAATGAAGACAAAATGCCTAAATAAACTTCAAGTGAATGGGATGTTAATAGAAATGATTCAGTGTGTCTTGAAAACGTGAATCCTAAGACCATTCATTAACTGGGTTAAGAAATACCGTTCATTGCCAGGCTTAGTGGCTCACACATGTAATCCCAGCATTTGGGAGGCCAAGGCAGGTGGACTGCCTGAGCTCAGAAGTTAGAGACCAGCATGGGCAACACAGTGAAACCCCATCTCTACTAAAACACAAAAAATCAGCCAGGCGCGGTGGTGCACGCCTGTAGTCCCAGCTACTCGGGAGTCTGAGGCAGCAGAATTGCTTAAACCCGGGAGGCGGAGGTTGCAGTGAGCCAAGATCGCGTCATTACATTCCAGCCTGGGCAACAGAGTGAGACTCTGTCTCCAAAAACAAAAGAAAGAAATACCATTCATTATTCAAGTATTTTTTAGTTTCTATTATGCGCCAGGCATTGAGTTAGGTACTGAGCACACTAGGGATCAAAAAAGGCATGATTCATGCACTTATGGTGAAGCATCTCATAACAGGAGAGACATTAATAAAATAATTTCAATAATAAATGTTTTACTACAAACTCAGGGAGCACATAACCCCACCTCCCCCATCCCCAGCAAAATCAAATTAAACTCTGAACTTTTTAGAACAGGGCTTCCTAACCCCTGGGCCACAGACCAGTACCAGTCCTGGTCCCCATTAGAAACCAGGTCACACAGCAAGTGAGCAGTGGGCAAGGTGGCGGAGCTTCATCTGTATTTACAGCCACTCCACATCACTAGTATTCCTGCCTGGGCTCTGCCTCCTGTCAGATCAGCGGAGGCCTTAGATTCTCATAGGAGCATGAAACCTATTGTGAACAGGGCATAGAGGGATCTAGGTTGCGCACTCCTTATGAGAACCTAATGCCTGATGATCTGTCACTGTCTCCCATCACCCCCAGATGGGACTGTCTAGTTGTGGGAAAATAAGCTCAGGGCTCACACTGATTCTACATGATGGTGAGTTGTATCATTATTTCATTAAATATTACAATGTAATAATAATAGAAATAAAGTGCACCATAAATGTAATGTGCTTGAATCATCCGAAAACCATCCCCCACACTCCGGTCCATAGAAAAACTGTCTTCCACAAAACTGGTCTCTGGTGCCAAAATGGTTGGGGACCACTGTCTTAAGAGAACTGATATTTGATCTGAGCCCTAAAGACACAAGGAATATCATATACAAAGATTAATGGTCGGGCAAATGCACAGACTCAAAGAACTGAAATAAAACAAGTGTTGCTAAAGCTCAGAAAGTAAGGCACAGTGATATGAGATGAGCAGAGGGAGATAAGACTAGATCATGAAGATCATTAGATTTGCAGAATCATTAGACTTTTTTTATCCTAAGAGCAACAGGAAGTCACTGAAGAATTTCAAGCAAAGGGATGACATGTTCAGATTGGTGTTTTTAAAAGATGACTGAGGCCTGGAAAGCAAACTGGAGGCAGCTGCAGAGAAATCAATTAGTAAGCTGAATTGGAAACTGGTGCCATTCAATAAGGCGGGAAATAATAATACAATAGCTCTAAACAGTGTGAGTTGGAATTGAGTTTGCTTTCTGATATGCTGACTTTAAGAAGCCTTTGAAACATTCAAGTAGAAATGGTGAATAGGCCCAGACTTGGGAGTCCCAAATTTGGGAGTCAATATACATAGAGGGTAATTGAAGTTGTACTCCAGTGCCTAGGCAGACAATACTGAATGACAGGAGGGCCCAGAACCAAGCCTGGAGCAACTCATTTAGTGACTGGGTCCCAAAGAATGAACATACAAGTCTGAAAAATAGCCAGAAATGAAAAATTAAAACCCAAGTATAATATCGTAGAGCCAAGGTGTGCTCCTAAAATCCTCAGAATCTCTAAGGTGTTGCCTTTTTGTATGCTAATGATTGACTGACCGCCAGCAGCCCCTGCAAAGTTTCAGCATTGGAGCTGCTCACTGAAAGGACCAAGGCATTAGTGAGGTCAGACTTTCAGCCCCACCCTCCAACCCAGGGAGGAGAAGAGGAGCTGAAGGTTAAGCTGATCACCAATAGCCAATTTATTCAGTCAGGCCTACATAATGAAGCTTACATAAAAACTGAAAATAATGAGTTTCTGACAGCTCAACACATGGAGGTTCCCAGAGAGCAGTGAGCTTGTAGAGGGCACAAAAGCTTCGCATCCCTTCCTATATGTCTTGCCCTGTGCATCTCTTCATCTGTATTCTTTGTAATATCCTTTATAATAAACCAGTAAATATAAGTGTTTCCCTGAGTTCTGTGAGCTGCTCTAGCAAATTAAGTAAACCAAAGGAGGGGTCATGGGACCCAGTTTACAGCCGGTCAGTAAGAAGGACAGGTAAAACAATCTGGAGCTGACAATTGGCATCTGATGGAGCATCGAGGGGCAGGGAAGGCAATCTTGGGGATTGAGCCCCCAACCTCTGGGAACTGACACTATCTCCAGGTAGATAGTGTTAGAACTGAACCGAACTTGACGACTCCGAGCTGACGTCCACTGCCGAACTGACTGCTTGCTTGGTGTGTGGGGAAATACGCCCACACATCTGGTCACAGAAGTCTTCTGTGTTAATTATTGTCAACTGAGGAAATAGAAAAATCTACTTGGGTTTTCCCCCCCACTCAGACAAGGGAACAAAGCGCTTTAAGGAGGGAGTGGCCAACGGTGCCAAATGCTGTTGAGAGTTTAATTAAAATGAGGATTAGTACTGATCATTAGATTTAACACCACTAGTCTTTGGTTCCCTTGGTGAGAGCTCTCTGGGCAGAGAAGCCAAAATGGAGTGTGGTGAGAAGTGAGTGGTAGAGAATAATTTCAAAAGTGTACTACTACTCTGAATAATAACTTCTCAAATGCAAAGTAAATTCAAACATGAACTGAGTTGCAGGTTACTGAATTCTGCAAGTGAACAAAACATTTCTAGAATTCTGTAAGACCACTTATATCCTTACCCAGTTGTTTTCTTGACTTTGTTTTAGAATGAATCTCTTCTGCATCATCTAATACAAGGTTCATATATTCATCAAAACCCTAGAAAAATAAACAAACTATCATCGTCAAAGAAAATCACATCCAACCCATTTTAAATGAGTATACCCATGCAGATACAAAATCCAACTAACTTCAAAGATTCACTCATCTCAAGCCCCGCACTCCACCTTCCACCCAAAGTCTTTGTTTTTTTTTTTTTTGAGAAAGGATCTCACTTTGTCTCCCAGGCTAGAATGCAGTGGTGTGACCTCGGCTCACTGCAGCTCGACCTCCTGGGTTCAAGCAATTCTGCTGCCTCAGCCCCACCAAGTAACTGGGACTACAGGGCGCACCACCGTGCTGGCTACTTTCTGTATTTCTGGTAGAAACAGGGTTTCATCATGTTGCCCAGGCTGGTCTCGAACTCCGGAGCTAAAGTGATTCATCATGCTCGGCCTCCCAAAGTGCTAGGATTACAGACGTGAGCCACCGTGCCCAGCAAAATATTTAAAAATTAGCTGGACATGGTGGTGCATGCCTATAGTCCCAGCTACTAGAGGCTGAGGTGGAAGAATCACTTGAGTCAAGGAGTTCAAGATTGTAGTGAGCTCTGACAGCACCTGGGTGACAAAGCAAGACCCCAGCTTAAAAAAAAAAATTACTTAGGGTAGCCTGCTATCCCTATTTAACCCCACTGAGCTCTATTCAGGTATCACCTAACCCACAACAAACAATTCCATTAGTCCCCACCCTTCCTAATTTCCTTTCTTTTGTCCCCTCTCTCCATACTAACATCGTTGCTCAAATATTTTTTTTTCAAATAATTTTTAAAAGTTAATTTTCAGCCAGGCATCGTGGCTCATGCCTGTAATCCCAAGACTTTGAGAGGCTGAGGTGGGAGAATCACCTGAGCCCAGGAGATTGGCCTGGACAACAATGTGAGACCTCGTCTCTATAAAAACTAAAAATTTAGCAGGCTGTGATTGTGCACACTTTTGGTCCTAGCTACTTGGAAGGCTGAGGCAGGAGGACTGCTTGAGCCCAGGAGGTTGAGGCCACAACAAGCCACGACTGTGCCACTGCACTCCAGCCTAAGCAACAGAACAAGGCCCTTTCTCAAAATTAAAATACAAATTTTCTTCTCAACACAGACAGAGGAAAGAAAATGAATTAAAAGTTAATTTTCCCTGTCTATTAAAAATTACCCAATCCTTACCTATCAACAATGAAAAAAGGCTAAAAAAAACTTTGCTTAGGTTGTATCTTTCACTTTTTATACACTGTTCTGGCTAGTCACTTTCTGAGAAATCTTTTTCTATGACCAAACTGCTATGAGATAAAATTGCCTGGATACTCACAATGATACAGCCTTCTATCCGCATATTCACTTGCTCGTAGAGCCACACCTGAATCCGCGATCTCTGAAATAATCATAAAAGTGGAAACGTTAAAAAAAAGAAAAATGGGGCCGAGCGCAGCGACTCATGCCTGTAATCCCAGCACTTGGGGAGGCCCAGGCAGGTGGATCACAGTCAAGAGATAGAGAGTATCCTGGCCAACATGGTGAAGCCCCATCTCTACTAAAAATACAAAAAAATTAGCTGGGCGTGGTAGCACACACCTGTAGTAAGTACCAGTTATCAGGAGGCTGAACCAGGGGAATCGCTTGAACCCAGGAGGCGGAGACTGCAGTGAGCCGAGATCCAGCCACTACACTCCAGCCTGGGCGACAGAGTGAGACTCCGTCTTTAAAAAAAAAAAAAAAAGAAAAGAAAAGAAAAGAAAAAAAAGAAAAAGAAAAACAGGCCAGCTGCCTCGATTCACACCTGTAATTCCAGTACTTTGGGATGCCAAAGCAGAATAATTCGCTTTGTGGCCAGGTGTTCAAGATTAGCCTGTGCAACATTAAGCAAGATCGGGCCGGGCGCAGTGGCTCAAGCCTGTAATCCCAGCACTTTGGGAGGCCGAGACGGGCGGATCACGAGGTCAGGAGATCGAGACCATCCTGGCTAACACGGTGAAACCCCGTCTCTACTAAAAAAATACAAAAAACTAGCCGGGCGAGGTGGCGGGCGCCTGTAGTCCCAGCTACTCGGGAGGCTGAGGCAGAAGAATGGCGTAAACCCGGGAGGCGGAGCTTGCAGTGAGCTGAGATCCGGCCACTGCACTCCAGCCTGGGCGACAGAGCGAGACTCCGTCTCAAAAAAAAAAAAAAACATTAAGCAAGATCTTGCCCCCTCCCCCGCCCCCCTTCCAAAATTGAAGTACACAAAACCTAACCATTTTGGTCAAACAAGAGAAATATGGCTCCTAAAAAAAACTGCAATGAATGTAAGTCAAGAGTTTTAACTAATTAGCCCATATCTAAGAATTATTCACCAGTAATAATAATCTCAAAGAGAGTTTTCATTTAATAAGTTCTATATTGGAACTATATAACCTAATAATTTTCCTGTGATCTTGGGACTCAACATTTCTTACTGTTTCTGGTTTCAATCTATTTAAGAGTGAAAGTTTTTGACAGCATAGCACAAAGCAGCAATTTCTAATGACCAAGGGCTTATATCTTGCAGCAAAATCCAGTTCCAAAACAAAGCTTTCTCATGTCACACACCTAACAACCAGGACAGGAGCCCTCAATTCAGGTGGTTAAAAATTATTATCACCTGAAATTAATGTTTTTCAGTTGTGTTGTCACACTATATAATTTAAGTTGCTAAAGTTTCCCCCAAAGGAAAGCAGATGCCACCAAATTCCTCTGAAGCTACCCCTTCTTTCTTTTTCCGTCTTTAAGTTTTCCAACAGATATTAAACACACCACCTCTTGACATGGTTTAGGTTGGTTGGGTTTTTCTTCCAATGTGTTTCATCTTAAAGGGGAGAGGTTCCAACGTTCTAGGCATAATCACTACTAACAAAACTACTGATGCCCAAATACCATGCTCAAGTCTGCTGAAAATACTTTTTGGAATTAAAAAGTATTTTTGATCTTGCAAAGTAATAATACAATTCTTTGCATGTTGGGAAGTGGCATGGATACACACCACTTCACCACATTAGTGCTTTCTCAGTACTCCTTCCCCTCGGTTACCCTTCAATCTCCAGTTACATCTATTTTTAAATTCTAGAACACAGCGATCGCTCAGGTTAACACAAAAAACTAAATCAGTTCATCTCTTATTTAAAAAATAGTTACGAAACAAGCAACTTACGTACATTTTGTAAGTATCTGAAGATGAGGTTCTGCACCACAGTGGCTAAGGAAAAAATACAAAAGTAGCATAGACTCTGCTTCCTGAAACAACTGGACAACCCTGTTCCCGTCTCACCTTGGTATACTGAACGGGAGGTCTGGTGCTTACGCAAACAAAAAGTGCCCAGCTGGGCATTAGGGGTCTTCTAAAGATTAAAGAACATCCCTTCTACTTTCATTCCCCTGGAGTTTCCCGAAACCTGTAACTCCCGTTTTCACTCCGCACCTAAAGTTCTCTTCCCTCCTTTCGCCGCCTCCATTCCTGTATTCCCCACGGCAGGGGTCCACCCAAGACCACCTCCCCACCATCACGGTTCTTCAACTACCCGCGCTTTCTTCCAGTCTTGGTCGCCCCGGGGGCTCATGGGATGTGGATTCGTACTCCGCTACCCCAGGCCTGCTCTCAGTTTGCGCCTTCGCACCCCGTATTCTGGCCCGAACCTCCTAGTCCTGACATCCTGCGTAGGATACGATGGGCTGCACCATAACCTTCTGCACTTTCTGGCCCTGGCCACGGTACGCCATGGTGAAATTTCACAAAGAGCACAACCTCACGCTGCCTCTGAGAGCAATTTCCGGAATAAAGAACCGGAAGCGGAAGTATGTGAAGGTCACGCGGCGACATGGGCGGCTCCTAGGAAATGCCCCTCTAGCCACGAAGTCACGTTTCTCCGCTGCATGGCCTCCGAGGGAGGCCAAACTGAGGCGTCTGCGCTGTGGAAGGTGGACCGGTCCTATAGCGCCACCTGGAGGCAGGCGGGAGGAGGTACCTTCGGTTGCCGTGTCTTCTTTTTTTTTTTTTTTTTTGAGGCGAAGTCTCGCTCTCTCGCCCAGGCTAGAGTGCAGTGGCGCGATCTCAGCTCACTGCAACCTCCGCCTCCCGGGTTCAAGCGATTCTCCTGCCTCAGCCTCCCGAGTAGCTGGGACTACAGGCGCCCGCCACCACGTCCTACTAATTTTTTGTATTGTTGGTAGAGACGGGGTTTCACCATGTTGGCCAGGATGGTCTCGATCTCCTGACCTCAAGATTCGCCCGCCTCGGCCTCCCAAAGTGCTGGGATTACAGGCGTGAGACACTGCGCCCAGCCCGTATCTACATTTTCTGAGTTAGCTTAAAAAGCCAAAATCGTCCCACTGTGTATCTCTGTGTGTAAAGTGAATTAATTTCGTGCCTTTCCTAAAAGTTTAGGCTTGATAACAGCGTTGTGGTGGACAGGGTAGGGCGGCAAGAAGCCCAAACTTCAGACCTCCCGCCTCTGGCAGTCGGCCAGGGGCGGTCTGCATTCCAAAGCCAGAGGGCTGGTTCGCTCCAGTTACGGATTCAGCTCAGCCACTTCGTGGAGCGAGTTACTGTTCAGGTGGCAACTGAGGGTGGCGATCTACCATGAAGACGCTGAAATCCACATGCTGGGCGCAAATCCAGCTCTTTTAGAGTTGGGTGACAAAGGATAAATTACTCAGCCTCACCGTGTCTTGGCTTAGTTTTCAAAACGGAGATTAAAGTAAAGATTAACTTTACTCAGGGGGTTGAAGATTCAATGAAAGAATTGTCTATGTGTGCACACAGTTAGGCGTCAGCCAGTGTCAGAACATGTCCTTCCCTGGATAACACAGCTACTAAGTGCCGAGGAGCTGGAATTCGTAGTTGTGCCTGACCCCAAAGCCCAACTACCTTTCCATTGTGTCATGGCTTGTGGCCTGGCAGAGAGTTCATTTAATTGGCATACACATGTTATAGAGGAGGAAACTGAAGTTTAGACTTTTGAAAGGACTTGCCTTAAGGGAACACGGATTAGGGCAAATGGCAGAATCAAAATTAGCTTTTCTGAGGGCTTCTGTTTAGTGGGGATAATAGTAATGACGACCTCAGAAAGGGTTTGAGTTGAAAGTGATTTTTAAACTACACAAAGCGGCCAGGCTCATGCATGTAATCCCAGCATTTTGGGAGGCCGAGGCAGGTGGGAGATCATCTGAGGTCGGGAGTTCGAGACCAGCCTGGGCAACATGGTGAAACCTTGTCTCTACTAAAAATACAAAAATTAGCCATGCATGGTAGCACACGCCTGTAATCCCAGCTACTGTGGGAGACTGAGACAGGAGAATCGCTGTCTGCCAATCGCCGGGAGGCAGAGGTTGCAGTGAGCCGAGATCATGCCACTGCACTCCGGCCTTGGCGACAGAGCGAGACTCTGTCTCAAAAAAATAAATAAGAATAAATAAATAAACTACACAAAGCTAGCAAATGCTTGGGATAACTATTTCCTTTAAAATATTTCAGCCGCGGCTGGGCACAGTGGCTCATGCCCGTAAATCCCAGCACTTTGGGAGGCTGAGGCGGGCGGATCACAAGGTCAGGAGTTCCGAGACCAGTCTGGCCAATATGGTGAAACCCCATCTCTACTAAAAATACAAAAATTAGCCGGGCGTAGTGGCAGGCACCTGTAGTCCCATCTACTCAGGAGGCTGAGGCAGGAGAATTGCTTGAATCTGGGAGGCTGAGGTTGCAGTGAGCCGAGATCACGCCACTGCACTCCAGCCTGGGTGACAGAGTGAGACTCCACCTTAAAAAAAAAAAAAAAATTCAGCCGGGTGCGCTAGCTCATGCCTGTAATCCCAGCATTTTGAGAGGCAGAGGCAGGAGGCTTGTTTGAGCCCAGGAGTTCAACACCAGCCTGAGCAACATAATCAGACCTTGGCTCTACAAAAACATTTTAAAATTAGCCAAGCCTGATGGTGCGTGCTTGTAATCCCAGCTACTCTGGAGGCTGACGTAGGAGAATCTCTTGAACCCAGGAGGCAGAGGTTGCAGTGAGCAGAGATCATGCCACTGCACTCCAGCCTGAGCAACAGAGCCAGGCCCTGTCAAAAAGAAAAAAAAAAGATTGCCTAGCTGAGTTTGGTGGCATGGCCTGTATTCCCAAGTACTAGGGGAGGCTGAGGTAGTAGGACTGCTTGAGCCTAGGAGTTCAAGAGTGCAGTGAGCTGTAATGGCACCTATAAATAGCCACTACAGTCCAGCCTGGGCAACATAGTGAGACCCAGTCTTTAAAAAATATTCCCCCATCCAAACCCAATAGAGTGTCACGTTGTCTGACTTCAAGACAGCATGTTTATTTTTCCCCACTATCCTCCCCCCCTTTTTTTTTAGACACGATCTTCTGATGTGGCACAGGCTGACATGCAGTGGTGCAATCTCGGCTCACTGCAACCTCCCCACCAGGGCTCAAGCGATCCTCCCACCTCAGTCTCTGGAATAGCTCAGACCACAGGTATGCACCACCACACCTGGCTAACTTTTTGTATTTTTAGTAGAGACGGGGTTCTGCCATGTTGGCCAGGCTGGTCTTGAACTCCCGGCCTCAAGTGATCTTGCCTCGGCCTCCCAAAGTGCTAGGATTACACGTGTTAGCTGAACCCGGCCAGGATTACTTTTTTAAATCCAAGTACATGATGTCTTCTTATTTGTTCAAACTTTCCTTTGAATCTTTCAAAAGTTTTTGGTTTTCTTCATATAGACCTTGTGATTTCTTAAGTTCAACCTTAGATATTTCATCTCTCTTGTTCTTAAAAATTGTATCTTTTCCTCAATTGTATGCTCTAGCTGGTTTTTGGGGAAAAAAGGAATGATAAATGCAACTACACAAAAATAAAATTTTACGTGACTAAAAAGTGAAAACAAAGCCAAAAACATCTGGGAAAAATATGTTTGCATTACATCTGAAAAATGACTAATTTTACTAGTATGTAGAGTTCCTGAAAAAGAATGCTATTCTGGTTCTTTAATGATGTGTAAGAAATATTCCAAAACTTAGTAGCTTAAAACAACCACCATTTTGTTATAATTCATGACTTCATTGGTCAGGAATTTGGGCAGGTTCTCAGCTGGGTGATTCTTCTGCTCCACAAGACACATCTATGGCTTTGGTGATTATCTTTGGAAAACTGGCCTTAGCTGGGTCCCTATCTCTATGTAGTCTCAGCTCTCACCACATGGTTTCTCTAGAAGGGTAGTATGCTTTCTTATATGGGGGATTAGGGGTCTAGCAAACCAAGGCTGAAGCTACCAGCACTTTTTTTTTTTTTTTTTTTTTTTTTTTGAGATGGAGTCTCACTCTGTCGCCAGGGTGGAGTGCAGTGGTGCAATCTTGGCTCACTGCAACCTCCGATTCCTGGCTTCAAGCGATTCTCCTGTCTCAGCCTCCCGTAGTTGGGATTACAGGTATGCACCACCACGTCTAGTTGATTTTTGTATTTTTAGTAGAGATGGGGTTTCACCATGTTGGCCAGGATGGTCTTGATCGCCTGACCTCTTGATCCACCTGCCTTGGCCTCCCAAAGTGCTGGGATTACAGGTGTGAACTACCGCACCCGGCCGCTCTACCAGCACTTTTAAAAGCCACGCCTGGGCCGGGCACTGTAGCTCACTCTTGTAATCCCAGCACTTTGGGAGGCTGAGACTGGCGGATTACCTGAGGTCGGGAGTTCAAGACCAGCCTGGCCAACATGGCGAAACCCCATCTCTACTAAAAATACAAAAATTAACTGGGCATAGTGGCAGGCACCTGTAATCCCAGCTACTCAGGAGGCTGAGGCAGGAGAATTGCTTGAACTCAGGAGGCGGAGGTTGCAGTGAGTGGAGATCGCACCACTGCACTCCAGCCTGGGTGACAGAGCGAGACTCCATCTCAAAAAAAACCAAAAAACCAAAAAAAACCCCAAAATTAAAATTGGCAATGGATGTGAGCAATCAGTTTGTAGCAAAGGAAATAGGAAAGTTCTTTAAACATGAAAAGACGCCCAGCTTCACTCATAAGAGAAAGGTTACAGTCAGAATGTCTGTCATAAAAGAAAAGAAAGAGAAAGGCAAACTAAACTACACTGAAGTGCTATTTCCCTTATTAGTTTGGCAATGATGAAAAAATAGTGGTACTGTAAATTATTAAGCTCTATTTCTAGGTACTTATCCTTCATACAAACTTACATGTGTGGTATAATGTAATCATCACAACATTGTTTAAAATACCCAGATGGGAAGCAACCTAAATGTCTATCAATAGGGACTACTATAAATTACTGCATCTTCACAGGGTGTAATTCTATGCAACTGTTATTAAGATTAAAGTTCTCTGTGCCACGATATGAAATGATATCCAATATACATGATGAAAAAAAAGGAAAGTATAATGTGCTTGAGATTTACTTCAAAATAACTCAGGGGAGCCAGCAGGACCAGATCTCAGATAAGGCAAGCCTAAGGATTTAGCATAATTGTAGGAATCACAATCACATGTACAAATACAAACTTTGAAAAGTGAGTGCCTCCTTAAATTGTGCCTAAGTACCTTGCTTGCCTCACCCTCAGCCCAGCTAAGTAGGTCAGAATAGGGGGTGATGGATAGTTAGTATGGTAAAGAAGAAAGAGGATTGGCCATGAATCTGTAATTGTTGAAACTGGGTGACTATGTGGAGTTTATTATACTTTAATTCTAAATACATTTGAAATTTTAATAAAAAAGGCAGGGTTCAAAATGTCATGTGTTTTACTGCATGATACTGTATGGAAGTGTATTGCCTTACACGTGGCTAAAGTATCTCTGGAAGAATACCTGAGATACAGATAATGGAAAGTAAGATGAAACATTTGTTTCCTTTTGTTATTACAACTACCCTTAAGGTATCTGCAAAGTGGGCTTGAGAACCACTGGCCCAAATAAACATACCCCTGAGAAAGGAGTCTGCCAAACCTCCCAAATATTTCAGAACATTCTTCCTCTCAGCTTGAAGTTTCTTTCATCCCAATCAGAAGCTTCTCAACTTGCTGAATGGCTGTGATTAACTATTCTCTGCCATGCCATAGATTCAGACTCTGCAACATTTTTAGCAGTTAAATCCAACCAAATATAAATAACCGTAGTAAGAGACCCTCTCAGTAAATATAAATCCAAAATTACTTTTTTTTTTTTTGGGATGGAGTCTTGCCCTGTTGCTCAGGCTGGAGTGCAGTGGTGTGATTGATCTTGGCATCTCGGTTCACTGCAACTTCCACCTTCCAGGTTCACACAATTCTCCTGCATCAGTCTCCCAAGTAGCTAGGATTACAGGTGTGTGCCACCCCATCTGGCTATTTTTTTTTGTATTTTTAATAAAGATGGGGTTTTGCCATGTTGGCCAGGCTGGTCTCAAACTTCTGACCTCAGGTGATCCACCCACCTTGGCCTCCCAAAGTGCTGAGATTACAGGCATGAGCCACCGCGCCCAGCCAAAATTACTTTTTTTAATGTAAAATTAAATTTTAGATTGCTGTTCTTATTTAGGGTCATCACTTATTTTTTGCTCACTTTATTGTACAGTGTTAAGAGAATGGTCAAGGATTTTAATTGTGCTCATGCCCCTTAACTAACATCATTTTGCAAATTCAAAATAAATTGCAGTTTAGAGTCTTAATTATTAATGCAGTTAAATGTCTGGGTTGTAGGAACTTTCAAAGATTTATTGAGCAGCTTCACAAAATCAAGATTTTAAAAACACTCTTGAAAAGATCTACTAATCAAACCCAATGGCACATAATATATAAACACACTGACCCTGAAACTACAGTGGGGTAATAGTCATCTTTAATGTCCTGTAGAATTCAGTGTCAAAATGAGTATGTGAATTAATGATACACAGTAAGTACTCAATAAATGTTAGCTAGTTTAGAAGTGTTACCTATTAAGCAGTTACAACTGGAGACCATGTATTTCCTGTTGCTACAGCCAAATTCAAAGCAATCAAATACTTTACAGAACTGCAGAACTGTTGGCTGGGCGTGGTGGCTCTGTAATCCCAGCACTTTGGGAGGCCAAGGCATATCACTTTAGGTCGGGGGTTCCAGACCAGCCTCGCCAACATGGTGAAATCTTATCTCCACTAAAAATACAAAAATTAGCCAGGTGTGGTGGCACACCCCTGTAATCCCAACTACTGGGGTGGCTGAGGCAGGAGAATCGCTTGAAACTGGGAGGCAGGGGTTGCAGTGAGCCAAGATTGTGCCACTCATTGCATTCTAGCCTGGGCAACAGAGTGAGACTCTGTCTCAAAAAACATACCGTGCAGAATTATTCTGGCAAAATAAAGCCACCATTTTAGAAAAGGATCATAGAACTCTGATCAATATATTAATAGATCAAGTTTTGTCACTGCAATTGTAATTATTAAACATTAGTCTTATCTTTCAAATACTGATCAAGATGAAAACATACTATGTTCTGGCTTTAAAGAGGAACCAGAGATTTAGGGTTAAGGCCAGAACTTTAGGAATTATTATCTTGAGATAAAATATATGAAACATAAAACTATCTTATTTCTGTTATAACCAAACTGGAACATTTGGGCCCTTTTCTTACTGGTAAAATGAAAAACTATCAATCAAAACTAGTTTTGCTTTTTGTGAAAAGTTGATTCAACTTGTTGGGACGACTTTAGACTAACAGGAAAAATCTATGTTCTTTGGTAGCTAACAAACATATGCATTCCCACAATTTAAAAAATTGGCACACCTATTAAGAAACCTGGACTTTCATCAATTAAATTTCTTATCTGCCGCACTTTCATGCTTGAAAATTCTGTATCTTTGACTCTAAAGATCATGTTTATTCATTTATTTTTCATCAGCCTCTTGAGGCAGAGTAGGCCCAGAGAGACTCCCTAAGATCACTTTTAAACCCTCCCTCCTTTTAAAAACTTAATGGCATTGCTTGAGTTACAACACGAAGGAGTAAGTATCTGTGTCAGAAAAAAAATCCTCACATTATAATAATATAAATTCTTACCTAAAGCACATGCAGCTAAAACTGAGCACACTTGTTAATTTGGCAATATATCCAGGTGAAAGATTTCTAAGCCAAATAATAACTGAAATTTGGGCACTTACATGAAAGGCCAATAACATTCTGATTGGGGTCTCTTGTCAAGGTGGATCCTAGGCTGATAGGATGATATGATCTAAGATTACTTAGCTCACAACATCAAGACTTTCCTACATCAGTTTTATTTAAAACACAAACAAGTATTTCTCTTTCTGTAAGGGCAAATGGTTCAAATAATGCGGAACACGAAACATTGACTAATACAAGTGCTTTAAATATGAAACAAAATTATTTTTTAAAAAAGCAAAAGAATAAAGAATATATACAAAAGGGACCTGGAATCTGTAAGCTGATTCCAAAAACGAAATAAGTAGAAAATTTGTGGTGCAACCTGAACATTCTACTCCTGCTTTGGAGAAGGGCTATCATACAACATTCAGTCAGCTGAAGATGGATTGGTAGAGGTGTGTCTATACATAAATTTCAAGTCATTTTTGCTTGTGCAGAATCATCCAAATCTTCCCAAGACTGAATGGGCAGTCCTGTGGCTTTCTTCCTTTTCCATATTCCCAACAAGGCTACATGAAGTTCAACTCTTGATGAGCCGCTTACAACAGCAGTTCCTTAGGAGCCAACATGACAGGTGGGTCAGATTTCCCTATGAGAAACAAAACTGGCCACCTACAGCAAAATATCAAAATGGGAAAGTCCTTCCTTCCTCCTCCTCCTCCTGATTATATACAACGTATCTCCTTTCAAGACTATTATTCCCATCATGCTTATTCCTTCACAAATCTAAACCTTGAGGTGATATGAAGGAAACCAACATCAAGAAAAGAAAACTCAATTCAGAAATGAAGAAAACTGGCAGGTATACAATACACCCCCAGAGCATCTCAATATCCCTGGCACAGTACAGTTCCATGTACTGCCACAGCCCATAGATAAACATTGGCAGCTTGAATAAGCTCATTTTTTCCCTCCGGTGGGTGAAGGCCACCAAATAAATACTGGGCAACAGGGGTTTGTTGGGAGAGTTAGAAATAAAAAATTTACCAGATTTTGTCCCTGTGATAATTCAATGCCAGTAAGGAGGCAAGTACTGAAGAAGAAAAGGGACAATTTTCATACTACAAAAGAATTTCCTCTAATCATGTCACCATCTCATATAATGAATCCAGGGAATCCCAGAAATAGAAAATTAGTTTCAGGGGACCCCCTGAGGCACTTTAAAGCCTTTTAAAAAATTACAGTAATAATAAATTAGATATTGCTCTTCAGAGGCTAATGGAGCAGCAGAAGCATCAAAATCAGGTCCAAAGAGTTATGCCCACATTACAGGCTTCCTGAGCTGCTCAGCCCTCTTTAAAGCTTAGCTGAATCTCTAAATACCTTTAAAAAGACATACAATTTAACACAGACTGAGTGGGTATTTTTGTTTAGTGGTAGCACAAAATTTGGTCCTTAATGGTAGCAGCTGTCTTCATCCATTTCAAAGTCAGGTAATATTAAGTACATCAAGACAATACATAAAGAACACAACAAAGGAGAAAAAAGCCAAAACTGACAAACACCTCAAGGAGTCACTAAGTTCGCTTGCACCCTTTCACTTGACCTCCCTCTCAGTCTCTTTTTTGTGGAGAGAAGGGTATGACAGAACTTTTTTCTCAGAAGATGATAAACAATGGCATCAAATGGACAAAATGGTTATAAAGTAACTTTAAAAATCTGACCCCAAGGAATCCAGGACACATACAGATAATTCAGAGGTATACTTCTGATTTGGGGCAAATTCTAGACTAAAGAAATGATCATCTCAGGTAAATGTTACAATAGATGAAACTAAGTCCAGCTTTTTGGCGATTTTTTTTTTAAGTGTCCTCAATACCACCTTCAGCTATCAATCATTTCTGATAGCTCAAGCAGAAGGTCATCTTCATCTTTCCCAGGATCCAGGTCAATCTCAGCTTCCAATTTGCCTCCTGAAATCTCCCATATTAGTTTCTCAAAATCATCCTCCACAGAGAGTGGGGGCTTTCCTGTTGAGGCAGAGCTGAGTCGGCGAGTTTTCATGCTCATTTGGGATGAGGAAGGGCCAGACACCTCTGGGGGTGAGGAAACTGAAGAGGACTGGGTTGGAGGCAGCACAAGACTGTAAGAAAAAAAAGATTATTAGAAAACTGCCCTTTTTTCAATAGTTGGCTGAATCACCTAGTCTCATGGACACAAAGAGCAAAAATTTGTTTCTAAGAACATACATAAAGAAACAATTCTTTTACTGATTTGGGATCAAGCATTTTTTTTTTGCGGGGTGGGGGGCGGGCAGAGTCTCCCTTTGTCACCCAGGCTGGAGTGTAGTGGTACAATCGTGGCTCACTCCAGCCTCGACCTTCTTGGCTCAAGCGATCATTCTGCCTCCACCTCCCAAGTAGCCGGGTCTACAGGTGTGTGTCACCATGCCTGGATAATTTCTTTTTTATTAGAGACAAGACCTCACTACGTTGTCCAGGCTGGTCTTGAACTCCTGAGTTCAAGTGGTCCTCCAGCCTCAGTCTCCCAAAGTGTTGGGATTACAGGCATGAGCCGCCTTGCCTGGCCAGCACCAAGCATTTCTATAACTCAAAGTAGGTGTTAAAGACATCTTTCAGAGGCTGGGCATGGTAGCTCACGCCTGTAATCCCAGCACTATGGGAGGCCAAGGAAGGTGGCTCACTTGAGGTCAGGAGTTTGAGACCACCGAAGATAATGTGGCAAAACCCTGTCACTACTAAAAATACAAAAATTAGCTGGGCCTTGTGGCAGGCACCTGTAATCCCAGCTACTTGGGAGGCTGAGGCAGGAGAATTGTTTGAACCCAGGAAGTGGAGGTTGCAGTGAGCAGAGATTGTGCCACTGTACTCCAGTCTGGGTGACACAGTGAGACCCTGTCTCAAACAAAAAAAACAAAAAACATCTTTTAGGTAATATAGCAAAATGTAAATAATGGCACCAAAGGAGAACAGCAACCCTAAATTTCCATACTTTCTTGCATTTAATTTGAAATGCAGCAGATTTATTTGGATGTTGCTGAAGTTGTTTATCAGTGTTATTCTCTAGAGAGCCTAAACAGTAGCAGGGGCCTGGAGTTTGTTTAGAAAGAATTACAAAGCATTACCTGTCTCTAGGATTTTCTGCTTCAGGCACAGTGACTGATTTGTCCTCAGAGACAAGCGGGACAACAGCCTGCAAAAGGAAGAGTCAGGTAATTCAGTGAGAGTTGGCTTTTTAATTTGAGCATATTCATTTTCTTTTGCTGCCTTCTTAGAATTGTGGCTATGATTCTTGAAGCCTGTGAATCTAAGAATCGATAATCTAAAGGTTGAGTATATAAATAAGCAAAATATCTTGCCACCTAAAAATTAGCTTTTAAAAAATCCTGTCCTGCTACTTCACAAATATCAAACTGTGAGTATAAAATACAGTAATAACCCAAATTACGGAAACGCCAGGAAGCGATATACACAAGATATAGATAAGAGTGCTAGTAGACAGTCTTTCTTGCTTTCCCACCACACAGAATAAAGCACCACGAAGTGAATATACGTCTTACCACAGCTGCTTTTTTGGCTGGGGGTTCCTGTAGGACACTGCTGGAGCTGAGTGGCTTCACAGCGGCAATGACAGCAGGGTGCATCTCCACTGCCTTACGTTTTGGGGCCAATTTGGGGGATGACACAACTTTAACCACAGATGGCTTCACATTCACTTTGGGTTTAGCTACAAGGGGCAGAAAATATCTGATAAACAGCGAGAATAAACTCTTTTAAATGGAGAATAACTCAGAATAAAATATCTAAAACTCCTTCAGTACTAGAAATATCACAAATAATTTATTTAAAAAGAGACTGAAAATGATCCAAAGGCAATTTGTGGTCACCATGGTGGTCACTATAGGTGGTCACCATGTAGATATAATACCACTTAAATTTGTTACCATTCCTCTATTCCTTTTTATTCAATACCAGAGGAAAGATGCACCATAGAAAGTTTTACACAAAGCTTTTTAAATAGCAATTTTACATTCTGAGAAAAGAACTCATCTCGTTTTGCCTTTGTATAAAAATATCAGAAATATTACTGTCTACCTGTGGATATAAGGCAAATGAAATTCAACGCAGTTATTGCCAGGAAGTTACTGGCAACAACTGGGTTGAATTTGGTAATTTTGATAACCTGAAGCAATACATAGTATAGAAATACTTGCCTTTACCCCTTTTTTCCAAGGTCTGTGCTGCACATTTCACATTCAATACTGAGTCTCCAATCCCTGAGGTTTCTACCTCCACCTTCTGGGATGACTTTGTGGGAAGCCGCTTGGTCAGGTGCCTGATTCCTGGCACAGCAGTGAGCACTGGTTTCTCTGCCACTTGGGTATTGCAAGAGGCCATATCTCCCCGAAGAGGTGTCAGGACTGATTTTTCCCTCTCCTGCTGTTTCTGTATGTGCTTCTCTCTCATGGTCTCACATCTCTTGACTTGAATTTTAGTGATGTCAACTCCTGTGGTCTCACCTGAAGCCTGTGGATAAATTTAAATGACAGAATTAAAATCTGATACCTCTAATAACCTCTAAGATGTAAGTACCAGGCTAACATCTAAGTTAAGCAGTCTCACATGATCCAGAATCTGAGAGAAAAGCTCTTTATTTGATGTCAAATAGACAATATCCTGTTAGAGATGAAAGATTAGAATTAGACATGTGTGGAATAATAAAAAACCCAGATTCTACAGGCTGGAAAACCATGACTCTAAGTCAAATACTAATGATTCCTAAATAATGAAATACTTGCACAAAGATTTATGTACAAAGATATTATTGTATTTATGATTGTGTAAAACAAAATCTGAATGTCCAGGAAAAGACTATATTTGTGTAATGGAGAATCATGTGGTCAGTAAAAACAAACTTCTTGAAGAATTATTAACATGATAAAGTTAAAGCAGGCTGTAAAATGATACACTATAGAGTTCTCTATTATGTTCTAAATATGGGTTTAACATTAAACAAATTCACATGCATGCATATATAAACAAAAAGGTCGAAGAAGGCCAAGTGTGGTGTCTCATACATGTAATCCCAGCACTTTGGGAGGCCAAGGCAGGTGGGTCACTTGAAGCCAGAAGTTCGAGACCACTCTGGACAACAAGGCAAAACCCTGTCTCTACTAAAAACACAAAAATTAGCCAGGCGTGGTGGTGCATGCCTTTGATCCCAGCTATATGGGAGGCAGAGGCACAAGAATCGCTTGAACCCAGGAGGCAAAGGTTGCAGTGAACCAAGATAATACCACTGCACTCCAGCCTGGGCAACAGAGCAAGACTGAAAAATCTCGAAGAAATCCATGGAAAAGATGATGATGGTTACATCTGAGCTGTATATTTTTACGGCTTGTTCATTTTTTAAAATATTAAATTTCCAACTTTTGTATGATGCATAGCATTAGAAAAAACTCAGTTTAAAAAATATTGATGGCCAATTAAACAAAAAACTTTAAAACAGCAGCAAATACTGATATACACAGAACTATAGGAAATTCTCATAAGAAATTATAAGTAAAAAGAAAGATTGTTTACCTAATATATGAGTGAATTATTGAGAAATTTACTGTAAGGTAAAACTACCAATTATCTAGCCTTTGTTTGCCATGAACAAAACCATATAATGATCTCAAATTTACCTCTTTAGCTTCTGTTCTAATACTGCTCTGAGAATCAACTTCATTTCCTTCCTGAAGGTTCTTCTCTTCTTTCATCCCTGTATTCACATTAAAGACATCATTAGTTATTTTATTTAAGCTGCAACTTCATGATAGATATGTTAAACAAAACTTTATTTAATGAAAGTAGTAAGACAGGACAAATAAAATTACAGTTAAAGTCCATTTGTGCTCCTAAAGTCTCAAACTACACATTAAAATAGCAAAGGTTGAGGCCGGGCGTGGTGGCTCAAGCCTGTAATCCCAGCACTTTGGGAGGCCGAGACGGGCGGATCATGAGGTCAGGAGATCGAGACCATCCTGGCTAACACGGTGAAACCCCGTCTCTACTAAACATACAAAAAACTAGCCGGGCGAAGTGGCGGATGCCTGTAGTCCCAGCTACTCGGGAGGCTGAGGCAGGAGAATGGCGTGAACCCGAGAGGAGGAGCTTGCAGTGAGCTGAGATCCGGCCACTGCACTCCAGTCTGGGCGACAGAGCAAGACTCCGTCTCAAAAAAAAAAAAAAAGCAAAGGTTGGCCAGGCATGGTAGGTCACATCTGTAATCCCAGCACTTTGGGAGACTGAAGTGAGCAGATCACACTTGAGGTGAGGAGTTTGAGACCAACCTGGCCAACATGGTGAAAACCCATCTCTATTAAAAATACAAAAATTAGCTGGATGTGGTGGCACATGCCTGTAGCTCCAGCTACTCGGGAGACTGAGGCAAGAGAATCACTTGAACCCAGGAGGTGGAGGCTACAGTGAGCCAAGATCATGCCACTGCACTCCAGCCTGGGTGACAGAGTAAGACTGTCTCAAAAATAAAATAAAAGCAAAGGTCTACATAGCACTACTGAAAAACTTCATTTAATTCAGTGTTTTCGTTATCTGAGTAAAGAAAGGTTGTCAAAGAACTCCTAGGAAGATCCCATGGAACACTCCTCTAGAATATTATGTGGGGATGTGGTACTAGAGACCAAGTTCTCTTGTTACCTGTTCTTTTGGTGATTCGCAGCAGCCGCCTTGCCCCTGGAGTGGCCTCATGTTGAGACGGAGAGCTGGTGCTGCTCTCAGAGCTCTGCTGCACCCTCAGTGCCTTCTCCAGTTTAATTTCTTCTAGTGTCTTGATGTGCACCTCCTGCATAGACTTTGTTTTACCTGCAGGCTCCTCTGATTGTCCTTTGCTGGCAACAATGGGTGGCAAAACTACTGTTTTTTTAATTTCACTATCAGTCTTTAGCTTGATGCAAGTTGCATCCTTTTTGCTTTTTTGTCTCTCTGCTTCCTGCTGCCGATGTTTTTTTTCAGCCAGGACCTCAGAGAAGGTTTTGATACGGATAGTGGAGGAGCTTCTTGCTCCTGAAGTAGAATCATCAGTTTTTGAAGGTCCTTCTGTCTTGAGTTTAGTTTGCAATTCTCCACGTTTCTGACTGGCTCTTTCAAGAAGAATTTCTTCTAATGTCTTCACATGGATCTCACCAACTTTATTAACTTTCTCTGTTTTCATAGGAGAAAAACATGTCATTATACTTGAAGTTCACCTCTTATTGACTTATGATCTCTCTATTCTTGGATCAAGACAGTCCAATAGAGAGCTATCATTTAAGCAGTCAATTAAAAGGATCAAAAGGGTAACATTTATTTCTTTTCTTTTTTTTTTTTTTTTGAGACAGTCTTGCTCTTTTACCCAGGCTGGAGTGCAGTTGTAATAATCTCGGCTCACTGCAACCTCTGCCTCCCAGGGTTCAAGTGATTCTCCTGCCTCAGCCTCCCAAGTAGCTGGGACTACAGGTACCTGCCACCAAGCCCAGCTAATTGTATCTATTTCAATTTTAGATTACTACAAGTTTCAGGCAATGGTCCTCAAGGAAAACTCTTTGGAGGCAAAAATTGATTTGCATTTCTATTCAGAAGCTTATTCTTCAGAAACTGAAAGCTATTTACTAGTTGGATAAATTTGTCATTATAAACCTTAACAAAAATAGCAATAAATTATTCATTAACTTATGGCTATAAACATGTAATGAACATTGGGCTAGAAATACAATGGTAAGCAAAATAAAATCTCTGTTCACATGTAATTTACAGTCTAATAGATAAATAATTAAATAAGCTATAGCAGAGTATGGTAATGATAACTGCTTTGATAAGGGAAGTATAATGCTATAAAAGGACACAGCAGGAACACCTACCCTTGTCTACAAGAAAGTGATATTAAATGATAAAGGATAAAAAGAAGGTAAAACAAGTGACGAGATAGAAGAAAAATACAAAAGGCCCAGAAATTGGCATGCCACTGAAGAGCTATTTTCAATGATACATTAATCATTCTATATCTGTCTAAACTGAAGAGCAAATATCACACTTCACAGATAGAACCATTCTCATTACTGAAGGGCTAAGAAAATAAATAATGAAAAGAGATAGTGCTATGAAATAAATAATTTGGAGATCATACACATATATATGTAATCACTGAGTAACAGCTTTTAATGAACTCCCACCCCCACACCTAAAAAAAAAAATCCTTCCGAAATCTTTTTTTTTTTTTTGGTAGAGATGAGGTCTTCCTATGTGCCCCAGGCTGGTCTCCAAACTCCAGGCTTCAAGCAATCCTTCTGCCTCAACCAACCGAAGTGCTGGGATTACAGGTGTGAGCCACCATACCCAGTCTGAAATCTTAAATATACTGTGTTCTGTCTCACTTTCTGAACTCTTGAGTATGCTATTCCTCTACTTGGAGTATTCCCTGCTGATCTCATTTCTCTTGCTACCTGGTTTTTTGGGTTTTTTTTTTGAGACAGAGTTTTGCTCTGTTGCCCAGGCTGGAGAGTGCAGTGGTGTCGTCTTGACTCACCACAACCTCCACCTCCTGGGTTCAAGTGATTCTCTGCCTCAGCCTCCCAAGTAGCTGGGCCTAAAGGCAACCGCCACCATGCCTGGCTAATTTTTGTATTTTTTGTAGAGACAGGGTTTTGCCATGTTGGCCAGGCTGGTCTCAAACTCCTGGCCTCAAGAGATTTGCCTGCCTGGCCTCCCAAAGTGCTGGGATTACAGGCGTGAGCCACCACGCTGGGCCTGGTTAGTTTCAACTGAGTTCCGCTTAAAACCTGATACCCTCCAATTTAGTTTTTCTGATCACAGCACTGAACACTCAGTACACTGTAATTGCCTGTATCTTCAAGTTCTTTAATAAAAAATTGCAAGTTCTTTCAATCCAAAGTAGCAAACATTTCACAATTACCACTCCAAGAAAGTACAATATGAATGGTGACATGGAGGCCCTGTTTCCCTCCCCTACCAAAATTTCACTGAAATGACAAAACATTAAAAATAAATCCACACCAGCAATAAGAAATAAGGATGTCACTGGCAGAGCATACATCTTGAAGAATTTCTAAAACAGAAAGCAGACGTCTGAATTTACAGAAAAATGGAAAAAGAATAGTTAAAACCATAGGCGTGAGTTCTGCTCCTCCCAATAGAGCCAAAGGAAACTGCCAAACTTGGGTTAACTAGTATTAAAAGCAACAGTGGGATCTGACATAACCATTAGGGTAGAATTTAAGGACCACCTATACAACAGATGGGCCAGTCAAGACCTCCTCCTGAGAACTGCTCCCTAAAAAGAGGCAAGTTTGCCCACGAAGAGCACATTATGATGTTGGGGCTGGAGAGAAGCAGAGCATGAAAATCCCAGGCTTTCACAATACCAAGCAGAAAAAGGGGAGGGAGGAGGGATAAAAGTAAATAGCAAATCTGAAAAAGGAAAAAAGTTGTTTCCATCAGAAAATAAAGTCTTACTGCGGCAATTGTATGAGCCCCCAGACTTCCCATCTTCAGTCCACACAAGCTGCCTGTTAGTACACCCTCTCCACTTAGCCAGACGTTAATGAAGTCTCCCAATCAGGAAAGAGGACAACTTGGGGAAAGGGTCTTTAAAATCAAAGGAAACCCAAGCCAGGTACTTACAACTATAGAAAAACAATATGTAAGATAAACCAAAATAAATAAAAAGAAGTGGTTAAGAAGCCAAAATAATACATAAACTTTTAAAAATAAAAATAAAGACTTGAATTAGAAATCCCAGAGCAGGCCAGGCACAGTGACTCACACTTGTAATCCCAGCGCTTTGGGAGGCCGAGGTGAGCAGATCACTTGAGGTCAGGAGTTGGAGACTAGCCTAGCCAACATGGTGAAACCCCATCTCTACTATAAATACAAAAGTTAGCCAGGCACAATTGTGCGTGCCTGTAACCCCAGTTACTTGGGAGGCTGACACAGGAGAATCACTTTAACCTGGAAGGCAGAGGTTGCAGTGAGCTGAGATCACGCTGTACTCCAATCTGGAAAACAGACTGAGACTTTGTCTCCAAAAAAAAAATGGTGGACACAGTGGCTCACACCTGTAATCCCAGCACTTTGGGAGGCCAAAGTGGACAGATCACCTGAGGTTGGGAGTTCGAGACCAGCCTGACCAACATGAAGAGGCCCCGTCTTTACTAAGAATACAAAATTAGCCGGGCGTGGTAGCACATGCCTGTAATATCAGCTACTCGGAAGGCTGAGGCAGGAGAATCACTTGAACCTGGGAGGCAGAAGTTGCAGTGAGCCGAGATCGCACCATTGCACTCTAGCCTGGGCAACAAGAGCGAAACTCCATCTCAAAAAAAAAAAAAAAAAAAAAGAATTAGAAATCCCAGCTGAGAAAAAAGAAAAAAAAAATAAAAGAACAAAGAAAGTTATTGAAAAATAAAATTTTTCAAGTGCCAAAATAAATTCATGTGAAGGATACCATGTATTGGTGTTCAATATCCCAAAAAGATAGGAAATTAGCCAAACCCATTATAGCCCATGGCAACCACCTAATTTTTGTACATGAAATTTTAACACCAAGCAGTCATTCATTTACATATTGCATATATGCAAAAAAAAATAAAAGAACAAAGAAAGTTATTGAAAAATAAAATTTTTCAAGTGCCAAAATAAATTCATGTGAAGGACTGGATAATAAAAAAAGATAAGGCTGGCCCCAAATCAGCCATCTAAAAAGGAATAGGCAAACTACATATAGCCCATATGGCAACCACCTAATTTTGTACATGAAATTTTGCTGGAACACACCAGCAGTCATTCATTTACATATTGCATACATATGCATATGGCTGCTTTTACTCTATGGGGTAGCTGCAATACTGTGGACTGCAAAGTTATTTATATCTGACCCTTTACAGAAAAAAATTGTCAATTCCTTATCTAAAAAACAAAGTTGAACAAAGCTCACAGAAGGTTAGCCAAAAACAAAGAAACGAAAAGTATAAAGAGACATGCAGGCATATGTCCCAAAGTTCCAACATCTATCTAATACAAATTTCACAAGAAAACAAAAAGAAATGTGCAGCGGTCATACTCAAAAGAAATTAATGTTTTCTAGAGCTAAAGAAGACAAACCTTTAGATTCAAAGGGCCCACTGAATCAGTATTTATGTATTTACTGAATCAGTATTTATGTATTTATCATAAATACTAATTTAGCAGAATGAACAAAAATGATCCATGTTTGATCCATAACAGTGAACCTGTAGCATACTAGGGAGAGATAAAACCCTAGAAATCTCTGAATAATTCAGGTTGCGTACAATAGAATAAGAATGTCCAACATCGGACTTCCTTGTTATGATGCTAATATAACTTTAACATCCAAATCAGATAAGGATGGGGGATAAAAAGTAACCTAAGGCGGCTAACACCATTCATAAATAGAGATGTAAAAATACAAAATTTTTAAAAGCCTCAAACTGAATCCAGCAAGGTATTAAAAAAAAAAAGATGGAAGGTTGAATACATGGATGTTCATTTTATTATTCCTTAAATTGTACATATATATACTTATGTAGTTATATTTCATACCTTAAAAAATTTAAAAATTATAACACAGGAAGAATATACAGAAAACCCCAATACCCAGATAACACCAAATTTTATTTATATTCTGGTATATTTTTGAAGATTTTTTTAAAGGCGTATGTTTATATCTTTACAAAATTAGAATAATCTCATATATATGCATGATTCCCTAGAGAATAAGTTTCTATAAGAAGAAAATAAACTTAAAAAAAAAAAAGATTCTTATGTTGCCCTAAATCAGGAGGTCAAAAGTGGTATGTGCTCTTTTGTTATCTTTCTTCACTAATGCAATTTGATTTTTCCGTATCATCGTTGTTCAGCATTTGACTTTTCATGACAGCAATTATTTTAGCACATAACTATCATAATTTTATCTAAACCCTTTTTGTTGTATATTTAAGTTGTTTCTAATTTTCTACTATTTAGCCAGGTGCGGTGGCTCATGCCTATAATCCCAGGACTTTGGGAGGCTGAGGCAGGTGGATACCTGAGGTCAGGAGTTTGAGACCAGCCTGACCAACATGGTGAAATCCCATCTCTACTAAAAATACAAATATTACGAGGCGTGGTGGCATACACCTGTAATCCTAGCTACTGGGGAGGCTGAGGTAGGAGAATCGCTTGAACACAGGAGGTGGAGGCTGCAGTGAGCTGAGACCTCGCCATTGCACTCCAGCCTGGGCAACAAGAGCAAAACTCTGTCTCAAAAATAAATAAATTAAATAAGTAAGTTCCTACTATTAATGCTATGATGAACAATCATTTTACCATCTCTAAGCGCAAAAAAGGAATTGATCCCAGTTGAGTTTGAGTTGACTTGATCAATTACTTAAAAAACAAACAGAACTACAAAAAAACAAAAATCCAAAGCCCTTAACAAGCAACAGATAAATGTGAGAAAAAGCAAAGGCTCTTACAGCAAAGAAAAAAATTATCAGAATCTGGTCTTAGGATTTACTTACCTGTTGCGTCTTCATTATTTGGACCAGCTGACATGCCTAATCGCTCCTTAAGAGACTTGGAAACTTGAGCTGTGAAAAGAAAGATTTTAAAAAATCAAAAGTTGAACAGAAACTTTTTACAGCTTAAATGTAGGTTTGCTGGGCATGGTGGCACACACCTGTAATCCCAGAACTTTGGGAGGCCGAGGCAGGCTGATCACTTGAGGTCAGGGGTTCAAGGCCAGCCTGGCCAACATGGTGAAACCCTGTCTCTACCAAAAAAAAATACCAAAAAAAAATTTAAAAAAAAATTAGCCAGGCATGGTGGCGGGTGCCTGCAATCCCAGCTACTCAGGAGGCTGAGGCAGGAGAATCACTTGAACCTGAGAGGTGGAGGGTGCAGGCAGCTGAGATCATGCCACTGCACTCCAACCTGGGTGACAAGAGTGAGACTCTGTCTCAAAAAAATAAAAAATAAAAAATAAAGATTTTAAAAAATCAAAAGTTAAACAGAAACTTTTTATAGGTTAAATACAGGTTTGTTGGGCATATTGGCACACATCTGTAATCTCAGCACATTGGGAGGCCGAGGCAGGTGGATAACCTGAGGTCAGGAGTTTGAGACCAGCCTGGCCAACATGGTAAAACCACATCGCTACTAAAAATACAAAAATTACTCGAGCATGGTGGCGTGTGCTTGTAATTCTAGCTACTAGGGAGGCTGAGGCAGGAGAATCACTTGAACCCGGGAGGCAGAGGTTGCAGTGAGCCAAGAGCGCGCCACTATACTCCAGCCTGGGCCACAGAGAGGAACTCTGTATTTAAAAAAAAAAAAATTAAATTTTTCTTCTCCACAGAACAGATTTATGTCAATCACAGATTCCCTAGAGTACTCTGGAAAGCTTAAAACATGCCAGGCATGGTGGCTCACGCCTATAATCAAACACTTTGGGAGGCTGAGGCGGGCAGATCACCTGAGGTGAGGAGTTCAAGACCAGCCTGGTCAACCTGGTGAAACCCCATCTCTACTAAAAATACAAAAATTAGCCAGGTATGGTGGCACATGCCTGTAATCTCAGCTACTCTGCAGGCTGAGACAGGAGAATCGTTTGAACCCAGGAGGCAGAGGTTGGGGTGAGCTGAGATCACGCTACTGCATTCCAGTCTGGGTGAGAGAGTGAGACTCTGTCTCAAAAATCAAAAATACCAAAAGAAACAAAGAAAAACTTACTTTATATCTGAAAAGCAAAAACTACTGAATTAAAGAAAATAGTTTTGTTATTGTAGAGCCTTCTAAAACCTTATTGTCAGCGAAAGAATTTTTCCTTCAAGTAAATTTAAAATATGCTCCTTAGTTATGAAAATCTTCAATATGATCGATACACAAGGAGGAAAGGAATGTGGCAAAGAAAGCAACTTTAGCTTGCTCTGAGAATACAAGAAAACCTCCAAACAGGAACATCTACTCATCAAAGCCCCTTGGGCAAGGGGAAAAATTAAAGGAAGCTTCTTATTTCAAAGAAAGTTAAAAACCAAACACAATGAGAAGGAACAAAACACCTATGCTTTAATAATTTAATGCCAGTGTTTCACTGCAAGTCATAAAAATGGAAAAAACATAAATCCAACCTTGGCTTTTTGTTCTCCTTCAACCAGAAAGAATTCTAATTCCCTGAGCGGCGCAATAGTACATTCCTATATTTCCAGCTACTTGGGAGGCTGAAAGAGGAGGATGGCTTGAGGCCAGAAATTTGAATCCAGCCTAGGCAACACAGCGAAATCTTGTCTTTAAACAAACAAAACAAAACAAAACAAATCTAACTCCCAGCCATCTCTTGATTTAGTCCACATGCCTCAAATAAACTTCCAAAATACCAAACCTATGCCACGACCTCGTCTTATCCAGATTATTTTAATAGCCTGCCAACTCATCTCCAGGCCAGTATGTTTGCCCCCTTCTAATCTGTCTCCATATTGCAGGCAAAGTAATGGTTTTAAAATGCACATTTGAACCTTTGATCCTTGTTTATAACCTTTCTTTTTTTTTTGAGATGGAGTCTCACTTAGTCACCCAGGCTGGAGTGCAGTGGTGCGATCTCGGCTCACTGCAACCTCGCCACCCAGGTTTAAGCAATTCTCTTGCCTCTGAGTAGCTGGGATTACAGGTGCCTGCCACCGCACCCAGCTCATTTTTGTAGTTTTTAGTAGAGACAGGGTTTCACCATCTTGGCCAGGCTGGTCTTGAACTCCTGACTTAGTGATCCACCCCCCCTCAGTCTCCCAAAGTACTGGGATTACAGGCATGACCTACCATGCCCAGCCTGTTTATGACCTTTCAATGGGTTGTTAATATCTTAGAATAAGTCCAAACTTTCTAACATGGCTTAAAGACAACATTATGATCCAGTCACCACGCTCTTCAGCCCACTTCTATGTTTCAGCCACATGCAGTTCCTTGAGCATACCACTCTTAGCTCTGCCTTTGCAGGAGTTATTCTCTCTGCCTGAGACACAGCCCCTGGCTCTCGAACTTCATCTGGCTAATTGCTAACTCATGCCTTAGGTCCAAACTTTAATATAACTTCTTCTGTGAACCTTCCCCTAACAGATGGTAATAACAGGTGCCTCTCCTACATGTTACCATGAACACTGTGTACTTTTCTCTGTTACAAAATTTATCGCATTTCTAAGTATTCCTACCTGCCATTTATCCTATAAGCTCCTGGGGAGTGTGACGGTGTTTTTTTCAATGGTGTCTACCCAGAATCTAGCAGAGTAAGGATTAAATGTTTGTTGAGTGAATAATATAACAAATACAAAATAACCTATTTACCTGAACAAAAGAATGACAAACTACAGCTGTTAGCATTACAAGAAACAAGTATCACAATTACATACACACACAAAGTATATAAGAACACAGGTACCTTTCTTTGGTGTTTTGTCAATGTTAGTTTCTGGAACTTCAACTTTCTTCCCTAGCCTCTGTGCCAGGCTACGCTTTAATGGAGGATCACTGTCACTGCCTATAAAGAGGGAGAACTTAGTTTAAGATTTCAAGTCAATCTTCAGCAAGGTCAAGAAATACAAACAAAAACAGACAACACAGCATAATTCTGTTAAGTGTTCTGCATACATATGGCATGTTAGTTCATTGGCTTCCTTAGAGCTCAATGTTAGAAACATAAAAATGTCCCAGAAAGAAGAGGTAGGAAGGCGAGGTGCAGTGGCTAAGGCCTGTAATCCCAGCACTTTGGGAGGTCAAGGCAGGAGGACCACTTAAGGCCAGGAGTTCCACACCAGCCTGGGCAGCACAGCAAGACCTTGTCTCTAAAAAAATTAAAATAAAAAATTGTCGGGCATGGTGGCACACACCTGTGGTCCCAGCTACTTAGGAGGCTGAAGCAGGAGGATCACTTGAGCCCAGGAGGTAGAAAGGCTACAGTGAGCTATGATCGTAATACTACACTCCAGCCTGGGCGATACAGCAAGGCCCCATTCTCAAGAAAAAAAAGAGACAAGGAAAAGAGCAAAAAATTAGAATGCACAAACATTTACCATATAAATTAACTGACTAAACTTACAAAGGAAAGGTCATAAACCCTGGTTGAGATTAAAGTTCAGAATTAGAAATGTGAAAAATCTTCATGTACAAAGAATGTTTCGTTTTTTTTTGAGACAGGATCCACTCTGTCACCCAGGCTGGAGTGCAGTGGTGCAATCTTAGCTCACTGCAACCTCCACCTCCTGGGCTCAAGCGATCCTCCCAACTCAGCCTCCCAATTAGCTGGACTACAGGCACACACCATCCTTGGTTAATTTTTGTATTTTTAGTAGAGACAAGGGTTTGCCATGTTGCCCAGGCTGGTCTTGAACTCCTGAGCTCAGGTGATCTGCCCACTTCAGCCTCCAAATGCTAGGATTACAGCACTATGCCAAGCCCCCACAAAAATCTTAACTGGTCAGCTGCTGAATTAAGTAAATGCATCCAGGATGAGGAAGACAGGTTAAGAATTATAAAATTTTAAGTTTTTTAGTATGAAGACTTTAAGAGCCACATAACCCCTTTCTCTCCAATTCTACAAAAGAAATCTAAGGTTCTGAAATATGCTGTATCTCACCCAAGTCATCAACTAGTTAGTGATACAGCCAAAACCTAAATCAAGTTTCCTAATTCTAGTTGCTATTTTTTTGAGACGGAGTCTCATTCTTTCGCCCAGGCTGGAGGGCAGTGGCACGATCTCAGCTCACTGCCACCTCCGCCTCCCAGGTTCAAGCGATTCTCCTGCCTCAGCCTCCTGAGTAGCTGGGATTACAGGCGCACACCACCATGCCCGGCTGATTTTTATATTTTCAGTAGAGACCTTTTTGTAGTAGAGATGTTTGTATTTTCAGTAGTTTCACCATGTTGGTCAGGCCGGTCTTGAACTCCTGACCTTGTGATCCACCCGCCTTGGCCTCTCAAAGTGCTGGGATTACAGGCATAAGCTACCACGTTCAGCCTTCTAGTTTTATTACACTGTTCAATACAAGTTGCTTAAAAGTCACCAGTTTTTAAAAACGCTTTTTTAGATTGCTTGACTGAACTTACATTGTTTGCAAGGTACCATTAAAAACTTCAAAAGACCCTACACAGAGTATGATTGTCTTTCTCCCCTCATTTATAATTTAAATAGAAAACAATCACAAAGTTTATACGTATGCTGATGTTAAAACAGCTCATTTCTTTATTTTAAAAACTTTTAATTATTATTTTTAGAGACAGGGTCTTGCTATGTTGCCCAGGCTGGACTCAAACAAACTCCTGGGCTCAAGGGATCCTCTAACCTCAGCTGCCCAAGTAGCTGGGACTACAGGCACGCACCACCATACCTGGCTTAGTATTATTTTTTTCTACCTAAAATTTCTAGATCAGCTTTATCCAAACTGAAGTCTTATTAATTTGAAACCCTGGTTTGGTTTGTACTCTAAATACATGCTGAGACATTAAAATACTGCTCTTAGCTCTCCCCACCATCTTGGATCCTGTGGAGGCCTGCTGGGAACAGGACTTCTTAAAGGGACTATGTCTAGAAGGCTGTGGTCCAAGGGCACAGGTCTCCGGGAAAAAAGGGAGCACATAGTTTTTCTTAAAATTGAAGGTGTTTATGTCCCAGAAGAAACAGAATTCTATTTGGGCAAGAGATGTGCTTATGTATACAAAGCAAAGAACAACATAGTGACTCCTGGTGGCAAACCAAACAAAACCGAAGTAATCTGGAGAAAGGTAACTCAGGCCCATGGAAACAGTGGTGTGGTTCACACCAAATTCCAAAGCAATCTTCCTGCTAATGCTATTGGACACAGAATCTGAGTGATGCTGTACACCACAAGGGTTTAAACCAATGAAAAGTTAGTAAAAGTGGATTTGTGCTATTGTAAATAAATAAAAATAAAATACTGCTCTTTAAAACCTAGAACTGGTATTGTTTCTTGATTTACAGCTACAAGAGATTTCTAAAGACTGCCTCATTTCTGTCTCTTCTAAGCTCTCTTTGTAAATGACTGTATAACGTGTAAAGTATTCATTTGACTATAACCTTGGGCAAGTTATTTAACCCTTCCTGAGTTTGAGCTCAGTGCAGAAAATATTTACTGATACCAAGCGCCAAACATTGCGCATGGTTTACTCATGGTTGCCGAGGATTCGATGAGAATTTACATAATGCTCGTTGATATACAGCAAAGCCACAGCAAATATTAATTTCATTCATGGGCATTATCTCATCACTGAAAGTTTTTATTACTTAGAGGGTAAAGTGCATAACTCATTCAACAATACATTCCCATCTCTCACTGTCTGAAACTTCGAAATGTTACTAAGTTCAGAACAGTTCTGAAGATAGGGTAGTGAGAATTGCATCAAAGAAAACACAAAATGGAGGTAAGGTTTCCTTTTTAGGACATTTAAAATAGTATGAAGAAAATTCTGAAGTCAGAAAAAATTCTCAAAATAATTTTTTGAAAGCCAGGCGCAGTGGCTCACACGTATAATCCCAGCACTTTGGGAGGCGGAGGTGGGTGGATCACCTGAGGGCAGGAGTTCATCGAGACCAGCCTGGCCAACATGGCGGAAACCCCATCTCTACTAAAACTACAAAAATTAGCCAGGGGTAGTGCCTGTAATCCCAGCTACTCAGGAGGCTGAGGCAGGAGAATCACTTGAACCTAGGAGGTAGAGGTTGCAGTGAGCTGAGATTGTGCCAGTGCACGCCAGAGTGGGCGACAGAGCAAGACTCTCGTTTCAAAAAATAATAATAATTTTTTGGAGTCAGACACGTTAGGGTAGTTATATAACAATTTACTAATATGGTAAAGTACCTCCCCCCAAAAATAAAATAGCAGCCAAGCATGGTAGCTCATGCCTGTAATCGCAGTACTTTGGGAGGCCAAGGCCGGCAGATCACTTGAGCCCAGGAGTTGGATACCAGCCTGGGCAACATGGTGAAACCCTATCGCTACAAAAATTACAAAAATTAGCCAGGTATAGTGATGTATGCCTATGGTCCCAGTTACTTGGGAGGCTGGGGCGGGAGGATCACTTGAACCCAGGAGATGGTGGTTGCAGTGAGCTGAGATTGCACCACTGCACTCCAGCCTGGGTAACACAACAAGATTGTCTCTAAATAAATAAATAAGCAAGCACCAATAGACTCAAGGACTCAAATTTTATATATACATATTTTCTTCTTTCTTCTTAGGGATTCCTATATTCTAAGAGACACACATTATATTAACCAATGATTTTTTTCACCTCTAAAACACTCACATTTAAATATGTCCAGAGAAACAGAGGTGTTCTTTACCATTTTAAAAATCTAGTTCCTTTCAAAATGCTGGTCATGGTCATAATCTAATTCAACTGCAACACTTCAAATCTCTATAACTTCAATAAAAGGTACAAAGCACTCATGAAAACACGAGGAATTTATAAGTGCTTTCAGCCAATACAGGCACACCAGTAACAGTGATGTGATCTGTTTAAAGAGAGTTTGGAGAAGCTATCATGTTAATGCACAAACAAGCAGAAAAGAAAAGATATGCACAAAACTTATCTTACCTGCTGAAAATTTTCGTTTCCCCAGTCTCTCAGTAAGACTCAATCTAACCAAGGGTTCTTCTCCTGAAATGGCAAAAGCAGAATTTCTCTATCCTTAGTCAATTTTTCTGTATTCAGTAACTACTAATAGGTACAAAGTATGTTCTGATATTAGCATGAACCCACCCAGAAACTCTCTTGAAAATCAGGTCTCAGTCTCAAGGAAGCCCACTACATTAAAAAAAAAACAAAAAAACCCAGAGTCTCACTCTGTCGCCCAGGCTAGAGTGCAGTGGCCCGATCTCAGCTCACTGCAATCTCTACTTCCCGGGTTCAAGCGATTCTCCTGCCTCAGCCTCCTGACTAGCTGGGATTACAGGCGTGCACCACCATGCCCGGCTAAATTTTGTATTTTTAGTAGAGACAGGGTTTCACCATGTTGGTCAGGCTGGTCTCGAATTTCCGACCTTGTGATCCGTCCACCTCGGCCTCCCAAAGTGCTGGGATTACAGGCATGAGCCACCACACCCAGTCTAATTTTTGTATTTTTAGTAGAGACGGGGTTTCACCATGTTGGCCAGGCTGGTCTTGAACTCCTGGCCTCAAGCAATCCGCCCACCTTGGCCTCCCAAAGTGCTGGGATTATACATGTAAGCCACTGCACCTGGCCTAGCATAGTACTAATTAGTAATAGCAGTCAAGTATAAGACAGATTGTATTCTCAACCAATTGGTTATAAAGCTGAACCTATACTTTTGCTTATGCACTTTGATACATTAAATGAAATTGTACTCTACTCCAATGTTAACTCTCCAATATAACTCTCTTTGATCACCTCAGGAAGAAGTGAGCTCTAATTCTTTGTTGTTTGAATTGCACAAACACTTGAATGTATCTATAATTCCTTATTAGACTTAAAATTATTAAATGAAAATACTTTATTACAGGCTGGGTGTGGTGGCTAAAACCTATAATCCCAGTAATTTCGGAGGCCGAGGCGGGCAGATCATTTGAGGTCAGCAGTTCAAGACCAATGTGGCCAACATGGTGAAACCCCATTTCCACCAAAAATACAAAAATTAGCCGGGTGTGGTGGCGGGCACCTATAATCCCAGCTGCTGCGGAGGTTGAGGCAGGAGAATCACCTGAACCCGGGAGGCGGAGGTTGCAATGAGTGGAGATCGCACAATTGCACTCCAGCCTGGGCGACAGAGCAAGACTCCATTACAAAAAAAGAAAAGAAAAATTAATGGCCGGGCACGGTGGCTCACACCTATTATCCCAGCACTTTGGGAGGCCAAGGTGGGCAGATCACCTGAGGTCGGGAGTTTGAGACCAGCCAGACCAACATGGAGAAACCCCGTCTCTACTAAAAATACACAAAAATCAGCCGGGCGTGGTGGCGCATGCCAATAATCCCAACTACTCGGGAGGCTGAGGCAGGAAAATCGCTTGAACCCAGAAGACGGAGGTTGCGGTGAGCCAAGATTGTGCCATTGCACTCCAGCCTAGGCAACAGGAGTAAAACTCAAAAAAATAAATAAATAAAAAACTTTATTATAGTTCTTTAGTCACATAGGAAGCCAATAAATGTATTGAGTGGGTATCAACAGTAAATGGAAAAATAAATGTGAGGGCTGCTTGAAGGTTGAAGAATTTCAACCTTTTAGAGTTGAATGTACCAACTTTTCATCTTTATATCTCATCAACATACTAACAAATTCCTGAAAATTCATCAAAGGTAAAAGATACTCAAGGATTTTACATTCCCAATTATATAAAAGTAGAGGCTTGACAACTCTAAGACCTACCTATACCTTACCTTGTTTGGTGGAGAGAGTTACTGTCCTCACCACAGTCCTGACATTTTCTTTTTCAGGACCTGGAACGGGCTCAGGGTGAAGTAAAAGACTGGAAACTCCTGAAGAACCCTCTGAATAAGGCAAGTCAAAGAACAGCAAATAATTTATGGAAAATAATGCTACTGCAAGTCAAAAGATTTGTTTTTGTAACTAGTTAAGTCCAATACAGACTGATATTATGACTATAAGCCAATCAGCCTTTCTGTATCTGTTTGCCTACAGTCAAACGGGGTAGTGGTGAGGGGAACCTTGGGCAAGATGTGAAAACAAAATATAAAATTATTTTGAGTGACTTAGGCACCCAAACTACTTTTATTTACCAATAAGGCTAATATTATTCTAAAATTAACCTCAGAGGTATACTAGCCATCAAGTGTATCAATCCAACCTATTCTATTCAAATTTAATCATCTGAAAACACAACTCCAAGGTTCCTATAAAGCAAGCCTTAAAACAAGGTTCTTAGAACCATTTCTCTCTATACATACTACACTTCAAACTATAATTTTAGGGCTGGAAGCTTGGGGCGGTGGATTACCTGAGGTTGGGAGTTTGAGATCAGCCTAACCAACATGGAGAAACCCTGTCTTTACCAAAAATACAAAATTACCCGGGCGTGGTGGTGCATGCCTGTAATCTCAGCTACTGAGGAGGCTGAGGCAGGAGAAGAGCTTGAACCGGGAGGTGGAGGTTGTGGTGAGCAAAGACTGCGCCACTGCACTCCAGCCTGGGCAACAAAAGTAAAACTCTGTCTCAAAAAAAAAAAAAAAAAAAAAATTGGGAGTTGGAAATACAGATCAGTCAGGCTGACGTAAGCTCCAGAAGAAAATCCTAGCAGCTCTTCAGGAATAACTCTTCTACTAGAAAATGAAGTTTTTCCTTTTTTCTTTTTTTTTTAAGACAGTCTTGCTCTGTTGCCAGGCTAGAATACAGTGGTGCAATCTCAGCTCACTGCAACCTCCGCCTCATGGGTTCAAGTGATTCTCTTGCCTCAGCCTCCCGAGTAGCTGGGACTACAGGCGCATGCCACCACACGTGGTTAATTTTTTGTATTTCAGTAGAGACAGGGTTTCACCATGTTCGTCAGGATGGTCTGGATCTCCTGACCTCATGATTCGCCCTCCTCAGCCTCCCAAAGTACTGGGATTACAGGCGTGAGCCACCACACCCAGCCTTTCCTCTCTTAATATAACTTCTTTTTAACCACTATAAGAACTTACAGAATTAATATAGTTCTTATATGATGTTCTTTAGAGCTATATTTTTCAAGATATACAGGTTCTTTCAGATTTTTTATTGTACCAAGCTCTGAATCATTAGGGACTGAAACACAGCTGCAGTGAATTAAAAGCAACCACAATTTAAATAAGTTTGTGTTTTACTTCAAACAGGCCATGGAAATGAAAATCTATTTTCTCATTTTGGCTGTTGTTTCTAGAAGCGTCCTTAGTATTCCTCCCGAGCAACATAAAACTATCCATGCCAAAACTTGTGATGACTTACCACCTTGCTTCTTAGATTTTTCCTTCATTTTCTTTGACTTAATTTCCTCAAGAGTTTTTATTCCAAAATTCAAACATTCACCTGAAAATCCAAATAGAAATTTTATGAGGAACTAGAGCCTTTTCATCTTTGTATTTTATCTGAATATAGCAGGCATTTATTTTTTGAATAAATGATCAACAGAAACTAAGTATAGGTATGTATGTGTGTAGCATGGGAAAAGGAAGAGGGAAGCCAATTATTGTGAACTAAATTTCAAAGTTAGTTTCAACAGTGCTGTAAGATTTGGCACCAATATAGCCTCTTCTTACCTTGCTTTATATTGACTGCAGGTTTCCGGACAGAAGTCACTCGTAATCCATTGTGAACTTCAGGACTAGGTTGCAGGGTAGGTGTTTTGGTTTCATCACCTTCCTCAGAAAACTGATCTGTATGCCAACATTTAAGGCAAATTCACAATTAAAAATAAGCCTATAGCTTTAATCCTGATTCTGCCCAATTTACTATGTGACCCTATTTATTTGCCTTAAAGAAGGAGCCACACAGAACTTACCATCATCATCTTCATCATCATCTGCAGCATTAATTACAACTGGTGGATGCGTGGGACTAGGAACATTTTCGGAACTTTCTACTTTCATAACGCTCCGCAGCTGAGGGGAAGGATTGGACTGGACAGACAATTTGTTCTGCTGAACTGAAAGTTGGCTAGCCTTCACTTCCTCTTCTGGTGACTCAGGCACAGTGGGCAACACAGCTAAACGCACAAAATCAGTCATAAATTAAAAACAGAAGATACAACCCCAATTTACCAAAAATTCCTGACCCCCTATAAAAAGTATGGTGTATTTATCTTATGGGCAGTTACGTCTTTTCACTAAATTTCCTCATTTAAGTTCTAAAGTCCTAGGGAGGGAAAAAAGGTGCTTTTAGCTAATTAACTCTCCACTGTGCATAAACACAAAGTAGGCACTCAAAACAGAATAAACAGAAGACTAGAAGAAGCATAGTACCTGTTCACAAATTCTAGACCTTTAATTTTAATAGTGTAATTCTAGGCTTTTTGTTCAGCAAAGTAGCTTTTAAGACCAAGCATATGACTCTTATTTGAACCAAACCAGAAAGGAGTAGGTCTACTTTTTACCCTTAAATTGAGGTAAAAAGATGTAGCCATCAAATTTTAATCATGTAGCAAATGTGGCTTTTAAATCGCCAATTCCACTTACAAATTATTTTAAAATGGATTTTGGGAATAACTACTAGCTGTTTAGTTTTACTTTAGATTATAGTCTAGAGTAGGGTTGGCAAATATTTTTTGCAAAGATCCAGTTTTTAGGCTTTGTAGGCCATATGGTTTCTGTCTCAACTACTCAATTCTACAGCACTAGCACAAAACTAGTAATAGAAAACATGTAAATGGGCAAGGCTGCATTCCAATAAAACTTACTTTACAAAACAGGCAGAGGACCAGTTTTGCCAACCTTTGGCCTAGAAAATCAAATTTATTTTGAAAATGTTTATGGGTCTGATAAGAATATGAAAAATGAAGTAAGTATAATAACTTAAATGGCATGCCAAGATATAATGGTTCTATGGCCATGGATAAATCATTCAACCTTAATAAGATTCAGTTCACTCTGTAAAGTGGAAATAATTCCGCTGTTTCACAAGACTGAAAGGAGCCAACGTCTAAAAAGTACTGTTGTACAGTGTGCATAATAGCTGTTCATTTGATAGTATTCTTTTAAAATTAAAAACTGATCTCACTTTTGCTCGGAGGTAGGAAAAGGCCATCAACATATCGTCCTCTATTGTGATGGAAAGCGCAGTTTAATTTTTGACATCCCGTTGGCTGATTTTCCCAATAACAAGGAATTTCACTGCGTTTTTTCTGTAAGAGGGAAAAACACATTGCTTTCAAATAAAACAGTGATACATGTATTAAAGTGGTAGTTTGTTTTCTAGACAAAGTTCATACAGGGTTCAAAAATCCGAGGCATGTGAGATAAGATGATTTTTACAGGGAAGAGAGGTTGCTGAAAGTAACATAACTTAGGCATGATGGAGAGCTGAAAAGAGCAGGAGAGTAGTTTATGTTATTCTTTCCCTTTTTACCCTCATCCTGGAACCCCTAAAATGTCTATACTTAAAGAAGCAGGATGATACAGTAGTTTAAGTTTATGAAATCAAAGATAATAGGATCTGAATCTCTATTATGCTACTTATTGGTCAGATAGCCTTGGACAATTTATGCCTCTAAGCCTCACTTTCCTTAGCTATAAAACGGGAATAAATGGTTTCTTATGAAGAGTACATAAAATAAAGCACTAAGCACATAGTTCAAACTCAATAAACTGCAGTTATTACTTGAAGCTGAGAGTTCAAGGCTTTGAGAAAATTCTTCCCATTCATGAATTCTCCAAGTAAGGCACATGTAACAGCACACTAAGGATGTTAGGTATCCTTCCCAAGTCACCTGACTTTTATAAACGAAAATTGGGAGGAAAAAAAGAATACCTGTACATCTAGAATAAACTGCCGGATCACAGGATATATGTCCAAGAAAAATATATACATTAGTTCTCCAAAAGCTGTGTATAAGCAATGTTTACAGCAATATTATTTTCAATAGCTCTATACTTTTGCAAACCTATGTGTACATCAACACCAGAATGGATAAAGAAACCGTAAAGTATTCATACAACAGAATGTCATCTAGTAATGAGAAGGAATAAACCATTGCTATACTCAATGCCACAGATGTGGAACGAAAGAAGCCAGACACAAGAGTGCATACTATATGATTCCGTTTATGAAAAGATCAAAACAGTCAAAACTTCTCCACGGTAGGGTAGGGATGGTGATCGGCTTTGGGGATGTGGTTAGTAACAAGGGGATGAAGGAGAAGATAGATTACTGCTAATACGCTATTTCTTGAACTAGGTGCTGATCAAGTAAGTATATTTATGAAAATTCTTCAAGTTGTAAGATTACGATTTGTGCACTTTTCTATATACATTTTAATAGTTCAAAAAAGGGGAAAAAAAGATATGAGAAGTACTCCGAAAAAGTAACTAACCTCCGATGAACTGCATTATGTTGAATCTCTAATCATCATAAACAGCCTAAGGTTTAAAATTCCAGGAAAAAACACTAGCATTGAAATGTAAGAATACGGAGAAGAGAAACAGAGAAACAATAACCATTACAAAAAGATGCTTAAATGTATCAAAAAGGGCAAATTCCAAAATCTACTATATTGAGAGACTGATAAAATTCAATAATACACTGTTTTTAGGGATGTGGAAGAATCAGGCAGTCTCAAACATATAATGGAAATGTAAATTAGCTCCCCATCTCTGAAAGGTGATTTGGCAAAATCAGTTTTTTAAAAATATGTTCTAAGTTTATGTCATATGCATAATTACCTATTAACATTTTTTAAAAGTGTAGGTTACTGTGGGCACACTGCTCTGCAAGGAGCAGTAAAAATAAATAAATAAAGTAAAACTAAAAGTACAGCAAATATCATTACTTCCAAAGAACTAGACAGAATTTCTTAGTCCTCTGTCACACCCAAAAGATAGATGTAATAGCTGCCACTGTTTATTAGACAGGAATAACAACAATTATTCAATTCTCCCTTTCTCAAGGCAGAACCTAAAGCCAATCTTCCTTGTTCCTAAGCCTGCCTTTGCTTAAATTTTACATCTTTCCTGGAAGCAATTTTCAAATTACTGAATGACTTCTGTAACAGTATCTTCTATATACAGAAGTCACATGACATTTATCTGATCTGTTTAATACATTTACTAGATTTTGTTTCTAATTGAAAAGTAATATATGTGCAATGAAGACAACTTGGAAAATGGAAATAAATGCCAATTATGCTATTACCCAAAGAGAATCACTTATTTTGGTATGAATTCTTTTTGTTTAAAAAAAAAAAAAAAAAAAAAAAAGTGACTATATGCATACTAAAAAGAAAGGTATTCCATGTAATTCTGTACATTTTTCCTTAGTAATATCCTCCACATGCCAGGCGTGGTGGCTCACGCCTGTAATCCCAACACTTTGGGAGGCCAAGGTGGGTGGATCACCTGACGTCAGGAGTTCAAGACCAGCTGGACCAATATGGTGAAACCCCGTCTCTACTAAAAAATATTAAAAAATTAGCTAAGCATGGTGGAGGGCGCCTGAAGCCCCAGCTATGCAGGAGGCTGAGACAGGAGAATCACTTGAACCCGGGAAGTGGAGGTTTCAGTGAGCCAAGATGGAGCCATTGCACTCCAGCCTGGGAGACAGAGTGAAACTCCGTCTCAAAAAAAAAAAACCAATAAAAAAAAATCCTCCACAATAATATTTCTCCTACATAATTATGTCTTCACATTTTTAACAGTAATACAGCACATGATCCAAAGTTAAAACAAGTTGATTCTCATTATTTGCAGTAGTTATGTTCTATAAAGTCACTAGGAACACTGAATTAGTAAATACTAAACCGTTTTTCCTAAGGGAAATAGAGTTGGGTTCCTGTGAGCCTCTGGTCACATTTTCATCAACTAATCAATACATAACTTGGTTTTGGGTGCATTTAATATTGTTCATTCATTAATACGAAACTCAAGACCAATAGCACTATAACTCACACTTGAACAAAGCTTATCTAACATCTATTTTCTTTTCTTTTTTTTTGAGATGGAGTCTCGTTCTGTCGCCCAGGTTGGAATGCAGTGGCACAATCTCGGCTCACCGAAACTTCCACCTCCCAGGTTCAAGCAATTCTTCTGCTTCAGCCTCCCAAGTAGCTGGGATTATAGGCACATGCCACCATGCCCAGCTAATTTTTTTGTACTTTTAGTAGAGACAGGGTTTCACTATGTTGGCCAGCCTGGTCTCGAACTCCTGACCTCATGATCTGCCTGCCTCGGCCTCCCAAAATACTAGGATTACAGGCGTAAGCCACCGCGTCCGGCCTAACAATCTGTTTTCTCTGTGAGACACATCACAGCTTTCTTCTACTCAGGAACACTATAAAGCACTTCAGCAATAGGCCTAGGAGCCATTTTAAGCAGCACCACCACCAACCAAAAGCCGTGGAACCAAATAGACCATGAAAAGGACACTTGTTTACAGTATCAGAAGAAGGCAGAGCTCTGTTCCACCTCACCTGGAAATGTGACTCAATTTGTGAACCAATGTGACACATGTCAGATGACTCAAATTTTTCGCTGCTCTGAACATGTCTACGAATGACCAAGTACTGATTTGGGAGTTATAAATTTTAGTAAGTAGGCAAATTTGCAAATATGGAACCAATGAATAATGAAAATGAACTGCACGCAGACGCGGTACACAATAAAAAGACTCCTTCTCATCCCTGTCACCTTCCTATAGCCACTGTTGTTAAGTTTCACCTTTATATTCCAGAGATTTTTAAAATTCATATGCAAGTGAAAAACAAATATAAACTGTTTTCCCTCTTTTTTTTTTTTTTGAGATGGGAGTCTCACTGTATAGCCCAGGCTGGAGTACAGTGGTGTAATCTCGACTCACTGCAATCTCTGCCTCCTGGGTTCAAGTGATTCTCCTGCCTCAACCTCCTGAGTGCTGGGAAGACGGGGTGTGCCAACACACCCGGCTAATTTTTGTAATTTTAGTAGAGATGGGGTTTCACTGTGTTGGCCAAGTGGTCTCAAACTCCTGACGTCAGGTCATCCAGCCACCTCAGCCTCCCAAAGTGCTGGGATTACAGGCATGAGCCACAGCACCAGGCTACCCTATCCTTTTTTAACCCATCTTGCTCTTCACCTTAGGTTTTCCACTTGACAATGTATCCTAATTATTTCCATATCAATAAGTTAGTTTCCCCTTTAAAATTTTTTGTTAACAGCTACCCGGCACTCCACTGTATGAATGTAGCAAAACTTTATTTTAAAAGAAGGACAGTTAGGTTATTTCCAGTATTTTACTATTACAAATTACTACAATAAGTAATTCTGCACACATCTTATTTTGCAGGTAAATACCTATGTGTAAAAAGTATAAGCATTTAGTTCTTTCAAGCAATATAGCCAATAAGCCTCTGTGCAGAAAAGAGTTAACATAGCAACTCTGAGACTACTATCTTAGAAATGCCTGCTTGCAAGGCTTGTTCTTGGCTAGCATCTGGGAACTTGGATTTTAGATGCTCCAAGCTAATTGGTAAGTGGGGGAGGGAGAAGGCTCAGTATGTCTAGACTGTTTGTGCAAATGATATGGTTAATGCTGAACATCTGCCTTCCTTTTGGGAGTCTGGAATTTGGGTACATGTTTGGTAAAGGGTGCTTACTTGGCCAGCACCAATGAAAATCCTGGATGTTGAGTCTCTAATGGATTTCCCTGGGCAGGAACACCACACATGCACGCTGCATTTTCATGACTCACAGAAGAGTGTGCTCTGTGTCACCCCTAAAGTGAGTGGGCATAGAAAAACAGGCACATGGATTCTTCCAGATTCCTCCAGTGTCTTTTTCCCTTATGATCTGACAGTGTGACTCTACTCTATTGCTGTAATAAATCTTAACTCTGAATACATTCTAGAGAATCTCTAAAATGAAGAGGTGCTCCTGGAGACACTGACATACCCTCCATAGGCGTTGTGCCAATATATACTCCATTAACAATGTTACAACAAGACTTTTCATGTTGTAACATAAAATATAAAAGCTGCAGAGTACTCCTTTATCAATTTATTTGATATCTGCTGCTATTTGCAAGACAGGTAGCTTAGAATGTAGTTGAGAGACAAGAAATATGAAACCAGACTGCAGTAGCTGACCCCAGGCATATGAACTGCATATTTAGTCTCACCCCAACAATTCAGTCCAAAGTTGTTAGATGGGGCTGAGG